GCTGTGGATAGGGATGCGCGCGGGCAAGGCTACCAGGCGCCCAGTCCCAGTGCCGGAATGGCCACTGCGACTGGTGGTGATCATGGGGCCAGAGGGCCACAACACACCTCCAACAGAGACAGGTACCGACCCGATTCAGCGCCCAATCCAGTGAGAGACAGGCACAGGCCCAAAGATAGGGCGCCTAGCTCAGGTACAGGTGTGCATGCTATGATGGGCTTTGCACCGAGCCCCGGAATGAGGCACCAGGCATCCAACCAGGGCATGCACAGGTACGATGGCACAGTGTATGAAAGGGGCCCCAGTCAGGGTGGTGAAATTCGCAGCGCGTTTGCAGAAGCACACAACCCCACGAGAGGGAGGCAAAGTGCCAACATGGGCAGGCAAAACACTGTTGAAAGGCTGCAGAGTCCTGCCAGGAGGAGGGACAGGGACAGGCACAGGCGGACAGAAAGGATGCCCAGTCCGGGCATGGGCCGCCGTGATGCTTTTCCAGGGGGCCACAGCCCCAGCGGGGGCATGCAAGGCCCCATGGGAGGCATGCAGCATCCCGATGACATGTTTCAAAATCCGAACCAAGCTATGTGGAGAGCAGCTGAACCAAGGGCGCACAACCCGTATGCAGCACAGTACAGCCCTCATGCTGGCATGCAGAGGGCAGAAGAGAGGGGGCCAGGCCCAAATGATTCAGCATACAATCCTTATGGCGGAGTGCAGAGACTGGACGATGGAATGCATGGCCCCAATGGAGGCGGATACAGTCCCAATGGCGGCATGCGGATGTCCGACGAAAGGATGTTCCACCCCAATGGAGGTGTGTACAATCCCAATGGCGGCATGCAGATGCCAAACGAGAGGATGTACAGCCCTGGAGGATACAGTCCAAATGGAGGCGGATACAGTCCAAATGGTGGTATGCAGATGCAAAATGCTGGGGTGCAGTACCCACCGGCAGGTGCATACATGCCCTATGGTGTTTTGCAGGGTCAGAACGAAATGATGTACAGTCCGAACGGGGGTGCCTACAATTCTTATGGTGGCATGCAGCGCCCCAATGAAAGGATGCATGCGCCCAATGCAGGTATGCAGTTGCCGTATGGGGGCATGCAGTACACGCGAGGTGGCATGTACAGGTCCACAGGGCCCTCACAGTGAGGTGGATGTCGGACAGTATTGTGGGCTGTGTCCTGCTGAGCTCGATGTGCAGTGGGGGCATTTCCCCTCTGTGGTTCTTCAGCTTCGTATGGATTGGGATTCGACAGTAGGTGGTCCTATAGTTCTTGGATCTCTCCCTTGGGGCATGCTGCCCAACATGCTCATGGGTTTGTAGGCCAAAGGTGACAGTGGATTGACAGCAGGAGGTAGCATTTGGGGACATGATTTTCTGTGTTTCTTTTACTTTCAAGGGGTGTCAAGGGATTGGGGTGCAGCAGGGAGGTTTACGTTGCCGAAAAAAATCCAGGAAATGCTGAAAGGGAGGTTTGTGGCAATAATGTCTCCAGGGGGATTCGGCACATTCCAAGCAAGGGAGGATCTGCTGGTCGGTTGAACACAGGAGCACCTTTTGAGGCCAGTGGAAGCTAGTTATCACTTAGTACTGCAACGACTTGCTTCTAAGGCGGTGGGTTCAGCTGGAAGGGCGTGCGGGGGCTAGCAGTGCCTGTGGGTGCGAGTGTTTGTGGCTGATTTGTGGCTGCCTTGCTCATGTTGCTCATGCCTTGCTCGTGGGCAGTTTTGCGCTTCATTTGCGCCCCTCGTCGTGGGCAAACAGGGGAGGCATTGAGGCCAGAGGCTGGGTCTGCACAGCAGAGCTTTTTTTCTTTTCAGTTCTTTGGGTTTCTTTCCTTTTTGGCATAGGCGTTCTCCTTCGCAGTGTGGGTAGGTTTTGCCCTGTTGGTACCTGTGCCTCACGAACAGAACAAAATGGTGGCGTGGAGTGTGGCTGGTTGGGTGCTGGAAGGTGCGAGTAGGCTTTTGAGAGGCGCGTTGTTGCGGGACTGCACAGTGGGAGGCAACGCTTGACGACGTTGTAAACTCTTCACGTGAGTGGATACGTTGCTCGACGGGCGGCTGGCTCGAATAACGAAGTGGTCGCAGGCCGCTGGATTGGGCTACAGCTCGAGCAGCGCGACTGAACGAAGCTTTGGGAACTGTGCAGCGCTGTGGATGGCACTGTGCGCGCATTCCTTGTCTCGTGCCTCCAGGGCATTGCCCCATTTGTAAGCGTGTTGTTTCTCTTCGGCCGTCAATGTCAGCACCAGAAACCACATTGGATTGCGCAGTACGGACGGTGCGGTTTGCTCAGTGCAACCCTGGGCAGAGACGCATTTGGGCAAGGCGCTGGACCAAAGCCACACGCGGACCACTGCAGCGCCGTGGTGCTGGAGCTGGACACCCCTTCCCGCGCCTGGCGATGCTCTCTCAACTCCACCGTGCGGGCAGTGGTGGCTCCTACGAATCTGGCTCTTGAATCACGATATGTGCACCCGTGCAGCAACCAACCAATTCGGTCCAATTGATTGGACCTGCAAGCCCATTGCAAGCGGTTCTCTGGTGACCAGCGGTCATCAGGGAAGTGGGCGCGCATGATTCATGTGGTCCGTTGTGGGCGCTTGGTTATCTGCTGGTGGCCGGGCCTGGTCGCATCTCTCTCAGCAGCAACCTCGGGACGCCTGCGATGGATGCTTGCACTAGATTGCCGTTGTCAAAGGTGGCGAAGTCTCTGCGCCTGCAAGGCGAAGCCTTGGCGGAGATTGGTGTTGTCAAGTTCTCAGGAATTTCCCTCACAGGCCTGGAATTTGGCACGAGGCGATGAAGATCCCGAACCCAGAATTGAATGTAGGCTTGGGGTGCGAATTTTTATTCTTGTCTCAAAGCCCATTCACATGCATCAATGGCACTAAAAGGAGGCAGTCATGTCGGCAGTCTTGGACACGTTGCAACCAACGAACTGTTTCACTAACCATTTTTTTGTTGACAGTTTCAACCATCAGTCATCCACTTACACCCAACCCACGCCCCCCGGGCGCAGGGCGCCCACACCTGCGCGGACACCAAATCGCCAAACGGACAAAACCCAGCCCCGAACGGGACGCGGCCACTATGAATGTCGCAAAAAGGCAGGACACAACTTCGATGGCCGAGGTAATCTGTGAGGAATCATCCAACGCGAGACAGCGCGCCAAGCCCCGCTGATTGGCATTTCAAAACCAAAGCAAAACTGCTGCTTCACAGCGCTGCAAACGAACTGCGAATGGCACAGACCTGGAGCGGCTCCATGGAAAGAGAACATGAAACTTTACACGACACTCTTGTCATTTCTTGCTGGCTATAGGCCATCGTATACAAAGCGATATCGACGTACTGCGTAGTACGTCGATGGCTATGCAATGTCGGCAACTCCCTGCTCCTGGCAGGTAGGCGTGGGGCCGGCGCGTGGGGAGCACCCACCCCCAATGCCAGTGTTATAAGTGGGGAATATTGCTGCAAAGCAGTGACATTCGACATCCCAACCGATTCTGCAACTACAGGTGCCGCTGCTGCCACACACGCAGGGCCAGTTGGGTTATAGTGTTACTTTCATCTCGTCACGCATCGATTGTCGGGCGCTTTGTACTGACTATTTTTGGTGGCGATTTTTTTGGCTACCTGATTTCCCCTTGCATTCGCAATCTCTAAGGGAAGACACGTTTTGATTTTGTACACTTGGCGCCCAACGGACTCTTTATACCCCCCTCTCCCCCCCGCCCTTACCGCCAATCCTTATTTTGCCATCCTGACAGCAGTGAAATCGGTACGTGGTGATGACCGGCAGCACTGGGAAAGCATTGGTGCCGTCCGGCAGGGTTGTGGCAGTACATGCCCACCCAGCGTACCCAACGCGAAAACCAACCTCGCTGCATTGTGCACGCCCAGTGCCGCGGCCAGCCCTCCCGCCCCACCTGGGCGCTACTCCCTGCCACCGCTGTGCCTGGCCTCTGGGCAGCACCCCCGCCCACGCTCAATCAAGCTGCGCAAGTTGCATTGCTCTATTGTTGCAAGTGGCGTTACGCAACCGCCACCTAAGCCCGGTTTGGCAAGGGAGCACCAGCCACTGCCGCTACCAACTGGGCATGATCATCGATGCACTGCTGCGCATGAAGTTCCCACAACAGCCATGTAGACCCACCGCCGCGTCCCCTTAGTCTGCACTCTCCATCGTCCCATCTGTCCATTGTCAGTTCATTATCCGCAGTGGCAATTGCAAAGGTGCTGACGAAGGCAGGAAGGGGGCGGCCCCTAGCTGGGGACCGTAGGCTCAAGTGCACGGCAACGGTTTGCAGCGGAGCAGAGGTATAACAGGAACTCTCTCCCTTACATCCAGTCCGTTCATCAGCGTCCTTGATTCAGCTCCTATTGTCTTATCACGTCTTAATGCGTCCAGCTATTAATAATACTCGATCACCTCGTATTACAACAGTGCCAATCAATGCCCGTTGCCGATCGCCTTCAAGCACTTGTCACCGATACAACGCGCATTGCAACATTACAACATTACACCGCACAACATACAACATGCATTGCAACATTGCATCACACAACGTACAACACACGACATACACCGTTACATTGCAACATTACAACACAGAAACTACAAACATTGCTTGGATGCTGATGTGCCCGTCATCGCCTACCCGGGTGCAAGGGCCTTGTTTCGTCACGTGTCATTGACGAATGCAACTCGCGCACCATACGGTTTGCCCGCACACCCTCACGCACTGGCGGTCCCCCAACTCTCCATACGGTGTGCCCACACCCCCTCAAGCACAGTCATTGTAGATGCTTTTAGCCGCTTGATGTTACGCAAATGACCCTGTGGCGCAGCAGGCCCCAGCGGCATATTCCACAGGCGGCTTTGTGAAGCATGACGTGAACCGCACCGTGTCCCACTGCGCCCCCAAGCCACAGGAGGGCCGCTGCGGTGCCATCGATATTCAGCCCCCCTCCCTCCCGGACGGTCAATGGACTGCGCCGCCACCATGAGGCTGTCCACCACCTGCTTGCTGCTGGTGCGTCCGCGCGACCGTGGCGCAACACGCATCCAAACCCACATGTTGATCTCCCTTCATGCCTGCCAACACGCTGATTTCGCGGCTGGTGTGTACGCTCCCCAGCTGCCCGCACGCGCTCGTGGGGCAATGCTTGCCAAGATTGCTGGCCGCCCTCATGTGGGCGTGAACTGCCATCGAGCCGCCTGGTGATGGCAGCCCTGACGGCCGCGTTGCGCCACGTGGCAAGTTTGCGTCCCGCAACGTTTCGCGCCGGCTTGCCCTTGTGACGGGAGCCGGCCGCGCGTGACCGAGACTGGTGCCGAAGCGTGGGAGCCTTCGGCAGGAGGGCGCCGCGCCAGGGACCGGGATGTGCTCTGGGACTACCGGGGTATCTGTCATCATCACTATTTTTACATAACCAGGCAATGAGGTACCCGCCAGATTCCTGTTCTGCCCGAGCAGGCATCCTGGACTTCTGTCACACCGGGCAAAAGCCCTTAGTAGCGCGGCCCGTGACCGAAACACCGCTGTCAGGTCGGTATTGGTATAATTGCCAATATGCTTTGAAATGTTACATGAAGTACTTTGGTACTTCAATTCAGCGCCTTAGTATGTTACTTTAGTGAGTACTTCCTCCACCCTACATTAAAGTGTCCTCTATTTTTTGCGCATTTTTCTCCATCAAAGATACGTCCTTTTTCAGTCAAATTTCGTCCAAAGCTGTGTTTGTGAGCTTAGAGTATGCGGTCAGAAAATGAAGTCAATCCGTTAATGCTGTGGATTTGGCAGAGATGTCTAGCAGGGGTCCTCTGGCTAGTACAGCTCGATTTTCACTCAAAAGCCACCAAAATTTCCTTTTGCCCAGTAATCAAAGGGGTCGGGGCTCACTTCTTCTGCTTCTTCTTGAAAATTGGCCACCTTTTTGAGTTTGGGGGGACCCAATCTTTCCAATTCTCACCTTCCCTTGTAATTTCAAGGCCGCCCTTGTAACTAACATCAAATAGAGGACATGTAGTATGGGACAGGGGAAGTGTACCAATATGATTGAGCATTGGTAGTATATTGCTGGGCCATGAGCGCAGCCAGGATCGTGATGCCGGTTTTTCATTCTTTCTATTTGCCAGATTGTGGGTGGCCCGCATCGCATTTGAACACCGCAATGGGCGGGTCGGGACATTTTCGGGATCGATCGTGTGATGGCGGGGCAGTCCATGACGTCCCATTTTCGCCCAGCATTGAATCTGAGCGTGCATGTCGACCCAGAAGAAAAAGGGTCAGCCTTTTTAATGTTGAGGCAGCAGTGACAGCTCCAACCTCTGGGCATGTGGGCATGAAACCTCCTCCAGTTGCTGGCTTTTTGTCCGTACAATTTGGCACACGCGTCGCATGTGGGGACAACGACATTCGGATGAGACTTACATCAAATTGGATTGGTGGGAGAAGCAGCCGCTGCTTGTGTAGACAGACTGTATTTCGGGATCGCAATATCCAGCGAGGATGGCAAGCTCATAGATGTCTATGCATGTCTCTACATGCAATCAGAAGTGCGCAAGTGCATGCAATGTGTCGTATATGATACATAGTGTTACATTATGGCATGTATGCCAGATACACAGCGCGTCCATGTCCACAGCCTCGCACATCACCACATGTCTTCTTACATACGTGCTTCGTTGCGTGTGCGAAGTGCATTCCGTCCAACTGTAGCCCTGTTGACCAAGTTTTAACAATACTGCCTTTTTTTTGCACCTTTCCCTGGATGAATAACCCAAACACTGTTTTCCTCCTTTACACTGGCGAGCGCTCATGGACTCTCTACCTCACTGCAATTGCGCATGAGATTTTCTGTGTTTTGAAGGCTCTGGTGTCCGCCGCTGTTGGCCAGGACAGCCCTTTCACAGAGAATGTCAACCTCGAAAACATCCAGGTAATGCCACCAACGGGAGCCTCTAATGGGCTCATGCCTACGCAGCAAAGGCCCGTAGCCAGTCCCAGAAATACCGCCAGTTGCCCTGTTCGTTCTCAGCAAGAGATCGGATCTCATGTCGAAATCATGTCAGGTGATACGCCAGTAATAACTGCCAATGATGCTGGGAAGCTTTTGAGCGTACATACGTCGTTGAGCCGCACTCCACTTCTCCAGTTCACGCCATCCAGGCCGCCCTGTGGTCAGAGGCGACCGCACGACGTTGACGCCATCTACGAAGAAATGCCTTGCATGTTGTGAAATTTGTCAACAAAGCGTAATTACCATTTTCCCGTAGTACATGCTACGACATCGCTAACCCTCGCTATGTCTACTTGGCATCAAACACTTCCTCTGTCCCATATTAATCGTCCACTATTTGAATTATGAATTCAGTTACGAAAAGGAAGTGTATTGCAAGCACAGATGCCACGCTTGCTGCCAGTAGCCCCACAGCATCTAAGGTGCCCTGCACCGTCAGTATCCCTGGGCATCCATCGACACGGTGTGTTTCATTGACAACTTTTCTGTGTCCGTCGCGCTCCAGGAGCAGGCCGTCCCCTACGAATATAAAACCCACAGTAAGGAGGGCACTCTGGTGTGGGACACTTCCTTCGATGGCTCCAGGCCGGTTGTGGCCGTGTTCCACGACGCCGATGGGCCCGACGGCTTTGAGCTGTGGGTCGCCCAGCGACTGGCCAACGAGGGATACGCGGCGTTCGTGGCCGACCTGTGGGGCGGCGAGAGCGCCAAAAACGACGACACCAGCATGGAAACGGTGGAGGAGAAGGGCATGGGCGTCGGTGAGAGATGTCCGAGGATTGCCCCGTCGCAGCAAATATTGACCCTCTCGACGTAGATTCTCTGTCCATTGCCAATGCCGAACTTATTGACACAGTGTAGGCCAAAAAACTCCTCTATTGTGCAGTATCGGTGTCGCTTTTCTTAATATAATTGTACTGAGGGCTGTGCTGTTTTGGGCTGCCTTGTGTATTGATTTTTGAAGAATAATATTCTAGTACAGAATTGTTTTCTGGTCAATCATAGTCGCCTCGAATTTCCTCAGGCTCAACGTTGCATCTGGAGGGGCGCAAAAGCATGAGCGGATGCACGCAGCGGAGCGGCGTGATGGCCCCTTTACATGTTTTTTAATGGCGCGTCATGTCGTGTGATTTGACGCCTCCATCGCATGATTTGATGTGTCTATCGCGTCAAAGGTCGGACCGAATTATTGTCCCTCGACGCGAGAGAACATTCAGGAGCGTGGACCGGCGCAATTCAAAAGGGCGCGGCGCGGCGAGGCCGCGGGCATTGTGCACCCGGTGGGGACACCGCCTGGGCGGGATGAGCGTCTGCAACGACCTCCTGCTAAACGCTCCGAATGCCGGCGCTAAATGGCGGCGACCGCCCATGGACGATCGAATGCGCAATTCAGAGCATAGTTCTGCAAAATTGAGCAGCTCAATAGTACCTACTGCACATGGCGATTGGCAGCAGCGCCTAATGCACGTCAACTGCTAGTTGTTTCTATACATACTGATGGCTAGCCTGCGGCACTTCCTTTGAAAGAAAATGGCTGTCCATCCATGCCCAGATGTCCCCAGGCATGTCCCAGACGAAGCACAGCCACAAGCGCACAGACAGGCGTACGAACAATTTACCCGCCCAGCAGCTGAACTATTGATACACATGAGATATTTTGGCGCCACTTGTGGCGTGAAGAAATTCTTCTCGACATTTCCCCACAGATGCGTTGGCTCGTTATGTCTGTGGATCCACAAAAAATGGCTCAACTTCACGTATCTGTGTCATTTAATGCTATTAACAGTAGAGAGTTGCTGCAAAGTATGGCAGTCCAAGTTGATCAAAATTAGCGCTTGATCTAGTGAGGTGCTGCATTGTACTAAGTGGCATGCAATCATGCGGCGAATCGACACACCACGCCAGTGCTGCAATGGAGGTGCCCAAAACTTTGTTGGTGGCAAGGGGGTTTGTTCGCCGAATGGATGAAGATGCCCCCAGATTAACTCGGTAAGGTCATGCATGACATTAAATGGCGAAATGTTGACATCCCCGTGCAGCAAGAATCTAAGGATGGAAGGAAAGCCTCCCTCTGATTGTTGGCCGTTCATTGGGAACCATCGAATTCTCTGTGCGGCGTCTTGCAAAAGAAGTTTAGCTTTCCGGTCAACGTGGTGCACACTTTTGTTTACGAAATACACCTTTTTTATGAAATTGCGCCTCTGCCATTCACTGCCAGTTTTCTGGCGCTGATGCATGCTCTTTCCTGCATCAGAGGCCCTCATCGCCGTGGCCTCGATCGACGCAGTCAAGGGCCTGAACTCCACCGTCGTCGACCCAGACTCGGTGATTGTCGTCGGTTACGGGTTTGGCGGCACTGTAGCCCTGGAGCTCGCCCGCTCGGGGTCCGACGTCCCCGCGGTGGCCGCCATCCATCCGACCACCCTGGCCCCGGCGGGCCCCGGGGGCGCCTCCTTCGGCGGCCGCGTGCTGGTGGTGGTGGGAGACGGGCAGGAGGGCATCGCGACCGATGACGTAATCAGCTTCCATGATGAGCTGCGTGGCCTGGGGGCCGCCTGGGAGGTACTGCGGCATCCTTCGGCAGGGGCAAGCTGCCCTTGCTGAGTTTGATCGAAGTCCGTATGGCCAAACCTCCGTGGGAGCATTAAAACTGTCCCTGAATCATTGCCAACTAAATGGATTCATTTTCTCTTGGCCATCACCATCAGGCCTGATATATACGGGGGAACATTCTGTTCATGGCCACTACGTGTGAAAATTGTTTTTGCATTTTTGCGCGTAAATAGCCGTAAAATGCGTGAAAATGTGTCTTTGTGTACTTAAAGACTGTAAATAGAAAATCAGCGAGTCCAGGGAATGGCAGCTTTACGCGCTGAAGTCCAGGAAAATTGCATGAAACGATCTTTTGCTCGGCGGCGTCGTTGCCGTTGCTATGGCGAGGTGTGCGCTTTGGCCCCGGTTCTGGAGAGAGTGGAGGGTTTGATTGTTGATTGGTATATCATCATGTAATCTGGACATGCCGACAAGCCGTAAATATGCGCAAATAGATATGACCGTTTTTCTATTTATGCTTTTTGGGCGTAAATGCATACGCAAAAATGGAGCTGCAAACGTAAATAACAGGCTTGATCGCCAGAATATCTCCATACGTGATTATTTACGGCAGGTCACGTGTTTATGTATTTTATATGTTTATGTGTTTTATGCGGTTATGCAGTTCATATGCTATGTATTTTCGTCCAGGCGCACTGAAATTCGTACTTCGGCAATTCACATGGGGTCAAATCACTGAGAAGGGCATTTCATGTGCGCCCATGCACCCGCCGCCTGGAGGTTGCACTTTGGCTGCAGCGCGACGATGGAGTCCAAATTCTGAACGCGCGACTGTGCGACCGCAGGTGACCCGCCTCTCCAAGGTCGCCGAGGGCTTCACCTTGCCGACGTCGGACAACTTTGACGCCGTTGCGGAAATGCGCGCCTGGCAGTCGCTCTCAGGTATGCGTGACTGCGAATGCAAACGGGGCAACGACCACAGGCGCAATGGCCAAGGCAATTTATAGACATTCTGTTACGCCAAAGTGCGAATCGAAAATATGCAAAACCCTCAACCCGGGATTGCAAACCTCCCCACGGAATATGGAGTAAGCCGGCTTTAAAATGATGCTTTTAAAATGGCTTTAAATGGCTTAATATCGTTTTATGGCAATCCTTCAGATGCAATTTTCCAACCCTGCCGCGGCGCTCCTTCAACAACCACTGCTCGACTTCTTTCTGCGTCAGTGCATTTACCTTGCGCCATTTGTGCGTCCAGAATGGCTGCAGCAGGTGGTGGAACCCTCGAGGGTCGACTACTTGGCTGAGCCCTACAACGCCACTGGCGTCGACGACGCCCTCCTGACATCCACGACCATCGACTACTCGGAGGGAGACTTCCAGTTGAGGGGATTCGCCTCTTACTTGACGAGCACGGAGGAAAAGCGGCCGGTGCTGCTCATAGTCCCTGACGGCAATGGGATAGGCCCCTACGAACTGTGGAGGGCCAAACTTGCGGCGATGGAGGGCTACGTCGGTGCGGCAGCCAGGGCGGCTTGTTGCACAAATTAGGCAATGAAAGTAGATTTCAGGGTTGCGGATTTTGGGGCAAACCGGTGTCCTATGGCGACCGACGGTCGGTAGATGGCGTCATTGGAAAAATGGAACTGCTTATTTCACACAAGTTTACACACAGTGTGCAACGCAGTGTATAAAATTCTTCCCCTCCCAGCGTGCACCCAGTCTGCAAAACCTGTCCGCTCTTGAATCGCGCTGGTTTGCTGATAAAATAGCGCAGGTCATTGTCGTTATCGTAATCCGTTCTTGCAGAAGCAATGCCGAATATTTCGGGGCGAAAGCCTGCATAAAAACAGCAGGGTCACTCTCTTCAAGTCAACATTGTTCTGCGCGATGGACAAACCACTGTGGCAAACAACGGACATCATGTTCTTGTTCTGCTGCTGGGTGGCGACACAGCGCTCGGTGTGTGACACGCGATTAATGGAATTTCACCATCACCACCATCATCTGCACGATGCCAAACAGGCGACACGATTGCTTATACGCTTGCTTATACGATTGCTTGTACCTCGTAGGTTTCGTGGCCGACATCTATGGCGCCGACATCGTCCAGGGCGCCATCCCCATGGAGGAGCGCGTGCGACTCATCACGGGGCTCTTCATGCCAAGGACCAACTTCTTAGGCCGCATGAGCGCGGCCCTCGCGGCTGTGGCGAGTGAGGAGCTTTCGGCTGTGGCGGATGCCACCAGGGTGGTCGCCATTGGGTACTGCTTTGGGGGCTCCGGCGTCATAGAGCTCATGCGGGCAGAGCCAGAAGGCCTCCTCGGTGAGCGTTCACGATGGTCTGGTCTCGTGGCATCTGTCAGATGCTGGACCAGAACTGACACTGTGGCGAGCGGCGACACCAGCTTGAGGGCAATTTATTCGTCCGGTCGTATGGCAGTGTCAGCCACGTCATGCCTGATATCGCAACACTGGTATGGGCATCACGCAGGCCGCAACGTAGTGGCCTCGCGGGCAATTGGAGGGCATTCGCTTCACTCCTGCCCGTTGCAACGGATTGCAGTGAAATTTAGAATATTCATGCTTTTGCACAATTGCTGGCAGCCACCACAGCCTGCTAGGTGCGGGGATCTGATTGCCATGTGTTTTTGGCAGATGCAGCCAACAGCAACACACGGCTGTTGGCAGGGATTGCCATTGCAATCCCTTGCAATGGTGATGATTTGGCACAAGTGCAGTTGAAAAGTATTGCACAAGTGCATTAAATGTATTTCAAGTGTTATTGCGTACAGCTGTACTACAGTTTTCTGTGATTTGTGGAGTACCTCCACGCCGCCGTGATCCAAAATGCATAACCCATGGAAGAATGCTTGCGCTTTGCAGCAGAGCCTACGACATTTCTAATTACGCAATATTTGCATGTCAATGTTGAAAATGCGTCCATCAGCTCTGGCTGTTCCTCAGCCCTGTTCGATGCAAATGAATTGCTGTGTATAGGTCGTTCAAAATCGCAAGTGTTTTCCTCCGGAAACAGATCGAATTCTGCGAACACGCAGGCAACAGACATGCAAGCGCTTGCAACCGGCCCTCCCGGCTTGTAATATTTTGACAGGATGCCGACATTTTTAAATGTCGTCATTTGAATTTAAATATGTTTAGATTTACTTGCTCATATTGGACCTCCATGGCCACAGGCATCGCAAGCTTCCACGGCGGCATTCTGGACACCAACGGAACCAAGGCCGGGGAGTGCAACAATGTCGCGACGGCTGTCTACAACGGCGCCGACGACCCTACCGTCTCGAATGAAGAAAAGGAGGCGTTCAGGGTAAACGATCCCTGCGGGCATTCTCGTCCCCGAACTTGGGAAATGTGTCCTCCAGAGTGTGGGTGGCTTCGGCGATACCCCGATTCAGAGCAAGAGCAGCTTGGCCCCTGCACCCCCTTCTGAAGTCGGCTAGCTCGCTACCGATAAATCTGTCTTCAATCAGGCGCTTATTGGTTCATTCAAACATTGAATACATCGAATTACCAAAACATTATGGGAATTCTTTATGGGAATTCTGTTTATGGGAATTCGCTCAGAGTTCGTCTGAGTTCCAATTCGCTAGCTCCCCACCTCGCAAGAATGGCTTTAGATGTAGAAATCAAGATGGCAAAGATGCCCACCAACGTGCGACTGATTGGCGGCGATCCACGAGCAGCCGGAGCTTTCTCGCCGCTTGTTCCATGACCAGTTGCAGTTGTTCTTTTTTACACTTTCTTTTGCGGCTCGTATGCGCTCCCTGGCTTGCATCGATGCATCCACAAGTTGTGAATGCATCGATGCATCGATTGTGAAGGCTTAGGAAATACGGCTAGGCCCAAATGAAAATACGCAACAACACGCGTATTTTGGCAAAAGTTTAAAATACGCGTATTTTATGACGTAATTTATTTCGATTATACGAAATGACAAGTGATTAGGCCCATTAGTGAATGAGACCTGCCGCTTGCATCCCACGGACCCATGGACTGCACGACATGAGGGAGCTGGGCGTGATTGGCGATTCCGAAGGTCCCCAACACTGCAAAGCACTTCGCGGATGTCACAGCCAAGCGTGGTACATGTGTGTACTGTGGCGTCATTGCGACGGGTGGCGATGAACGCCGGTGCTGCCACCTGGCTGGCATCGCCGGATCTGGGGTGGCGGTGTGACGCGGGAACGTGCCGGACGCCGTCTAAACTCATGAGTTTATACGCTTGCAAGAGCAGCGTCGTGAAAGGAAGTGGCGCAGCAAAGTTGCAAAAGTGGACAGCAGCATCAATCTGTCTGCCAAGCGACATGGATGCTGACTGATTGAATCTGCATGTCCTTGAGGTTGTAATGTAAAATTTTTGCCGTATTTTTAGACGTATTTTTAGGCCCAAAACAAAAATACGTGACAATACGCGCATTTTGCAGTATTATTACTTTAAGCCGTATCAGTATTTCCCAACCCCTGTTCACAACGTTGCAGCGGCCACGGCCCTGTGTCTGATCCTCTGAAATGTTGTCTGCACGTGCTGATGGCCATCAATACGTGCAGACAACATATCGATATACAGCGATATATCGGTGAAGCTCGTGCACCTGCAACGAGCAACTTCCTGCGGTTTCGGGTTTTCAGTTGGACTTGTCTGCCACCATTTTCATGATCGAAAATGCTGCCCTTTTTCTGTTGCCGACATTGAGAGGTTCTCCCTTGTGCCTCCAGGTCGAGATGAACGCCGCTAAAGTGAACTGGGAGCTCACGGACTACGGAGGCGCGGTGCACCGGTTCACCAATCCCGATGCCCCTGCGGGCGACCCCAACAACGCATACGACCCCACCGCGGATTTCAGATCCTGGGAGTCCATGAAGGCGTTCCTTGCTGCCCTGTTTTCTGACGACAATCCCTACGTCGCCTGCCCTTGAATCGGCGATTCGCTGCAGGATGGTGGCCACTCGTGGTCCAAGGAATGTTCCACGCCCGCTTCAAGCGGACGGCACCGTTGGCCCAAAAAAATGCCGATGATATCCGTGGATTGCATAACATCCAGCCTTGGCCGTTTTGGCGTCAGAGATTGAATCTGGGAGAGTGCCGCTTCAGCACACAATTTTAGACATGTCTAAATGTCTAAAATGTCTAGATGTATCCGGGCTTGACAATGCACCGCAATTCAGTGTTTAATCTCCACAGGCGTGGGAAGGCCCTGTGGTTTTGCAACATACACGACACTCTGTGCCGTGATACCGATGGACAGGGGTCGTTGCCAAGGTTGCATACGGGACTCCACATCCAAAGTCTAGTTGTTCAAATTGCCTATGGTGCAAATTTCCAGCATTCGCCTATAGGCGAATGCACCGCTAGCTAGCGGTGTATTGGGGGCGGTCCACATCAGGGCAAACGTAACCAAAGCAGAAAATTGACTGTGCGCTCATTACATTTGGTGTGATAGCAAATTCTACACGCCAGGTAAACTCCCAGTAATCTGGAAAGCACCACACCAGAATGCATGCGATTTTTTTTTTTGAGGTATCGCTTGCATCGAATGGATCCTACAGAGAGTAATTTCAACTTAGGATTTGATCGCATGTAAAATTCCTTCCTTCCTCCATTAAGAAGATGAGTGGCATCTATGTATTTGGCCCTGGATTCAATGTTTTTAAACAGGTTGTGAAGCTGCCATTCCTTGCGCGCCATGTTTAGATTGCGCAGACGGGCTAGCTGAAGCACCAAAGTTGACATGTCTGTTCAAAAGGAATGCGAAATGCCCTTAACCCAAAAAGTGACCAATGCATTTTGCCCCTGCGTTGGGGCTAATGGCCTCATGAAGTGTACCTGGCAGACTTTGCTTATGACACCAAAGAAATCACACTCGGCGATTGTAACCTGGTGTCGAGCTGCTTCCACAGCCGCTTCCTTTCAGCAGCCTGCTGGTGAGGGCACAAGCCATATCACCAGCACCCAAACGGCGAGCATAATCAGGTTGGGAGTCGCACACCGTGATACTGCACCTATTGCCAAAATGTGAACTTGCGGGGGCACAAAGGCCAGGGCACTGCAACGGCAGGAAAATTTTCTTTCCGCCAAGATTGAATTTTGTCACAGGGATGTTTTTCGAGCACTTTGTTTGGTGTGCGGAACGTGCATTAAGTTGCTTTCCATATGTCGAGTACCTGATCTCTCCAAGGCGAGTACGTCAGAGCCAGTCTGAGCGCATATCTTCCTGTGTGCTTGGACAGGGGAACGGATAAGGCTGGTGTCCTGGTCACTTGTACTGGGAAGATCCACTGGTATTTGGCATCTGAGCCAGGAGCACAAATATCAGAGCAGTTACGCTCTGGCGAAATAGTGAGCAAATCCATGGAATGCTGTTGCCACAAATGACAAAACACAAACCTGCACCTGCAAGGCCATACACAACATACGGATACCCACGGAATGACCACACCTCAAATGAGTGCCCGGCTGGAAATTGAGCAGAGTAGTGGCAATGCCACTGATGTATCCAGAAGGATCTGCAGACAGCAACAGATTTGCTGGGGAGGATCTAGGCCAGTTTCTGAGCAGCTGCTGGGCTGTCATTCAGACACCAAAGTTGCACATTGATGCCTGGTAATAGCACCACAAGACATACTGTTGGATCGCCATCAGGCACATGTTCATGGCATTGATTGCTAAGTGTACTGTTGCATCAAACGCTTGTGATCCGACCCCAGAAGCCAGTGACGGTCTGGTATTCAGATGCGAGCAGTGGCCAGTCGAGCGCTGCAGAAAAGTGGGACATTGCGTCGGTCGCCTTGGGGCCAATGGGAGAAGCTTGGCGACGTGTGTAGGCGATGATGACGAGCATGTCAGCACTTCCAAGACGTCGGTTGAGTAGCAGCACGCTGGTCTGACGACCAGGCATCTTGTGCACGATCATATACAAAAAGGTTCGCTTCTATCCTGCCTGAGTTCGCTGACAGACGGGGAATGGCATCAGGGATGCCCCGCCATTTTGCATGCATGGAACTGGCGATTTAGACCCCAAATCCGGGCACAAACAGCCCATGGGCTCTGGACATTTAGGCGCACGCACGGGTATGGACAGAAGCGCTGACAAAAAAACGCAGCGATTCACGCAGATTAACTCAGATACCCATGCTACTCGAGCGGCGAGACTGGCGCGGGAGTGCTGCGCCAAAATCCAAACGTTTAGGAATGACAGGCGCTGGTTTTGAAGCCAGACAGATCGGTCTCTCCACGCCGCGACCTGTGTTCAGCAAAAGATGACGCCCTCAGAGAAGGCCAAAAAGGTGCTTGCAACTTCGCAAACTGTTGCTCGTTCCGCTGCATCCCCTCCAGAATCGGGCAACCCGACCTTGTGGCGCCGCACATGTCGATGCAGCCACCCCAAATACCCGGCTCTATGCATGTCGCCACTTCAATCCATTTTGATCCTTAAAAGTCATACCAGCTCTGGGATCTCACATCAGATTCCCTCCCAGCCTATCATATCCACGAATAGTGTCCCATTTCCGTCAGCTATGACCGGCCGCTCACATATTCCTCATGCAAGAATTGTATCAACACCACACAACACGCGGCCCAGGATACAGAAAGAAATGACACTTCAGCCCTCTGCCCTCTGGCATATTAGAATCGATTAAAATACTGCCACACTTCAAACAGCTGCCATCGTGGCAATGCAACTGACATGATATCGCTCAGCCAGCGCATCCATGACCATTCCATTCATGTCAGCACATGGCAAAAATATGCCACCTCTGATGTTCATTCTGCAAACAGGTCGTGTCGCCATTCTGTCTGTCAACTGCCAATAGAAGATAACGAAGAAAACATCAAACCTTAAGGTCGGAAGAAATGACATCGCACGTGCATGCAGCCCACTCATGCCCACTGTTACATCATCTTGACTTGGAGCCCATGTCGATTGCAACTGTCGTTGAGGAGCCACACATGTGGAATGTGGACGTCTTGACTCATTCATTGATCGATGAGTTTGGGCATCATGTCCTCAGTGGCAATTGTATTCTGAATTTAATGCACTGAACTGTTGCATATTTCGCTGCTCTGGGGCGTGGCCTAAATGACCAATAACGACGTTTAATGTCCCTTTCTGTCGATGACCTGATCACCAACGTTGCACCCCCGTCTGCCATGGCCTCCCTTGGTCCCACAAAACTGCACATCCAGCCTCATGTAATCAAGCGCATTGCTGAATTTCCCAACAGATCGCCTAACGCGTCTTTCGCCCTCTTAGGAACGTGCACCTGTACCGTTGTGTTGTCTTCCTTGCACGCTGCTCAAACCAGCAGTTCAGCATGTCGACTTGAAAACTGGCTTACTTTGGCAGTGGAGAACCCATCGAGCATTAGCGTACTGCATGTCACAACGATGTGTCCGGCATGCGCATAGTTATATAACTATCATATATAACATATCTAGCATATATAACATGGTCCTTTGACATTACATTTAGTGGGGGAGATCCTTAGCTTACATTCTCGTGTAATACATTGGAATTCAAAAAAAAAAAAAAAAACATACATAACATATATAACACATATATAACATATATGACATATGTATAACATATATGTTGACCTTTTCGTCGATTGGGGGCACGGATGTTGTCTCCTTGTTCTTGCATCATTCTCAACAGCGTTTTCGCCAACATTCTAGCCTTCGATGATGATTTTGCACGGCCCAACTGCTGGACTCTGGATCACAAGGGCCGCCAGCTCATATGATGGTCATAATCATCTATTTTTAAAATTTTAAAAATACGTACTTTAAAGCAAGTGATAATTGGCAGCCCTAACAGATGGTAACGCTTTTCCCGTGCATAGAAGCGCGCCCACTCCGCAAATCGCCACCACCCCCATGGCTCACCTTCTGCGCTGCGCTCACTGGCCTCTAATTCGGATGCACACTAGGCCTGGAGTGAGCCACGTCAGAGCGAGGGCCCATTCCTCGGTTTAGCGCGCGACCCTTGCAGGGCTTGATGCCGTTCCACAAAGAATGAACGCTCTTGCGAGATCTTGCTGCTGCAGGGAGAGAGCGCTCTCTCGAGGGCAAGGGCCAGGTAAACGTTTACCTGGTAACAAGAGCGCAGGGCGAACAGGCGAATTGAGGAGGCACTCATGAGCCGGTGCGGAGCCGTTCTCTCCCGTTGGTTCCCGCCCAAGCCGTCTCCAGCCCCATCATCACAGACGACCACATATGACATCAGCGTCATAACGGACGACCAGTCCTCACAGAAGACTACAGACGACAACGGGGACATGTCCTCACAGACGACCATAGACGACACACACAAGGGACAGGTCCTCACTCTGTGAGGCTCACAGACGACCACAGACGACACGACAAACCGACACGACGACACGACCACAGGTGACCACAGACGGCAGACACCAGAGAAAGTCCTCACAGACGACCACAGACGACAGTGGGGGCGATGACAGTACACTGCTATCGTGGAAAGGCGTCGTGTTGCTTAGGTGCATTGCTTCAGCACACACATTCCGCACAGATCCCCACGTCCGCGCAACTCAAAACCCCCAAACCCCCCAAAACCCTTCGGCATGTTTACGGCAGATGTGGTAACCCAGACAGGCTGCCACCAGGCATATTCCCACGGCGGATGTACAAGTGGGTGGATGCTCCGGCCCCCCGGCGCCTCACGTGGTGCCACAGCCTAATCGCCAGCGCGGGTGTTTGGCGCACGCAAGGCGCCCCACCCACCGCCAGCGGCCACTCGCGGCTTCAACCACTCCTTGAACTGGGCGCGGCGAAGCCATGGCCATGGGGATGCTCAACATCTGCCTCTTCCTGGTGGGGATTTTCTGGGGCAGCGTGTTGCCTCGCGCATTGGTTCCATCAAGGATTGCCGAGGACGGATCCGAGCGCGCGAAAGGCGCCTGGCCGCTGAACAGCATGCAAGCTGCTGGGCGCGGGGTGGCGAGAGTGTGCCTTGCGCCTGGGCTGGGTTTGAATGGCGGACGTCCGGCTGATTGTAGATTGCCTCCACGTGACTGCGTCGCCGCACCGCATAGTGCGCTCGAATCCTCGCATCGCCTATGAGAATCCGGCGGGCGTACGCGCCGAATGGGAGGAGGCGCGAACCTAGGCCCGCCGGTGATCATCGACGTGTTTTCCGGGTTGTTGGATGTGTGGGGAGGCCGGCCGAAGACCGAACTGCGATGGAGTGCATAAGCCTGATGCATAACGATGCCATGTTGCATCGCGTGCGCCGCACGCCCTGGGCAGTTTCCTGCCGGCGTGGCCGCGGCACGCTTGCGCCCCTGCTGGTGTTGACCCTCGTGGCTTGGTGGGAGGTTGCGCCTGGACAAGTGCGCGCCCCCCCACCCCTCGCCAATGGCACCATGCCAACACGAAGAGCAAGCAGTCGATGTTGTCAGGTGGCGCAATATGGGGTCTAATCAATGAGGACGTTGGGTCCAATCAATCAGTCGATTTGCACGCATCAATCAGTCAGTACATGAGTAGAAAAGGGGGTTAGGAAGCCGCCCAGCTGCCCTGCAGATACTCATTGGGCGATTACTGTTGGGATCGCCAGATGATGGGTGACGCCTGCTCCAAACTGAATATGCCATGGCTCCGCGAAATGGGTAAACTTGCCAGAAATGAGCCATGTTGCCCGCCTGCCACCGTCGACCTGAGTGGCGCTGGGTCGCTCTTGCAATCCTGCCTACACAGGATTACATGCAACGCATGGTATACTTATTGATGAGTCTCGGAGACATCGTCTCACAATGCCCAATCATCACTCCTGGATTCCGGGCATGTATGTAACGACGATTCTTTGAAAACCACGCTCACCCAACTTCAACATTTGATAGGTGTGCAATGATCTGCTGTTCCCCTAGGGATCCTTCGTAAGGCCTTACGAAGGATCTTCTCCTGCATGTATGCAGAGACGACTCTTTGAAAACCACACTCACCCAACGTCAACATTGGATAGGTGTGCGATGGTCTGCTGTTCCCTTGGGGATCCTTCGTAAGTCCTTGCGAAGGATCTTCTCCTGCTCAAAGACTCGCTGGTACACCGTCCTCTGCGCCGTCCAGTCTCGACAATCGTCGACTTCTTCATCAGTCCGGTTCACATCTTTTATTTGCAACCAGCACTCAACTCCCATTTGGGAGCCTCTCCCTGTCGCAGTGTTTCTGCGGCAGAATGTTGACTTGACACTAAGTCGCTGAATGAGTGCAACGGACTCCCCGATGCAGTAATTCAGGTTTGGGCAGAGCTGGCGCAAGTGCCGGACGCTTTTGAAGCAGGAATCAGTAGTGTGCTGGCACAGGTACCCAACTACTGAGCAAGTCTGCTCCACAAGAAAATTCTTCTTCATTTGTTCAGCCCTCTGGCACGCCGAAATGGCAAGACGCATCTTGACATCTTGATGCGACACTACTGGCCAATGCCATACCAGCTGCTTTGTTGTGCTGTGTGGGCTGTGCACAACGATTCAGACTTCGCAGGCATGATTCCACTGTCTTGGGGGGGGCGCTTATCATTGCCTCTGTGTTGAGTAGGCGCAGTCAGGAACTATCTGCAGCAACAAGCGTTTGCTGCCAAAAAGCTTTGTATCTAGACAGTTATTGCGACACTGCTCTTCTGTGTCAGTCCTCAGAATGCGGGGCAACGCGAAAGCTGGTGTTTGGAAGTAGTTCTTGGGTGAATGAAAAAGCAACAGTGAGCTTAGCCCACGCCACCCGATGGATGAGTACACCAGGGCCTCCGCACAATGCTGCCCTGGCAGGTGGCTAGCTGCATGGACTGTGCTTGCAGTGCTGTTCAAATGCAGCACAGATGTTGCACAAGGACAACACACGAAGTACAGCACAACGCACGATTGAACTGGTGATGTTGTGTTTCGCGCAGGCTCTCTTCTCTGCAGCCGTCGGCCAGGACAGCCCCTTCACACAAAACGTCAACCTTGACACTGTCGAGGTGAGCTCCGTCTCTACCATGTGGCTTGCACCACAACATTGAAAATTTCCGCGTTGTAGAAATTGGCATGACCGCTTGGCTCCGGATATTTTCTCGAATTGTCGTGAATTGTGACCATTAGTCCGGGATTGGGGCTTTTTTTTCCATGTCACGCTGAATGGTTCGATACACTAGGAAGAAAAGGGCCGAATAGCACGTGTTCAAGTGTGTACAAAGTTTACGGGTTTGTGTTATTTTCGTGTTTTCATCGTACAGAACATTGATGAAATGCATACACATGTGTTGGCAGAACGTGCTGTTTGGTCGTTTTTTTGCTAGTGATATTTCATGGCATGCGTGGCCACTGTGCCGATGGTTGCCCTCCTCATAGTCGCATCCATCGACCATGTCAGTCCAAACCTTGGGACCTCGAGAACCGCCATCCCAGACAGAATCTTGACAAGAGTATTGAACCTGTAGCCCGCGATGGCCATCTCACCGATGGCCCAAGATTTGCAGTGCACCGACTATCTGTGTCCTGCTGCAGGAGCAAGCCGTCACATACGAGTTTGCCGCCGGCAGTTTTGAAGGTACTCTGGTGTGGGACACCTCCTTCGAGGGCGCCAGGCCGATTGTGGTCGTGTTCCATGACGCCGACGGCCCTGACGCCTTTGAGCTCTGGGTCGCACAGCGACTGGCCAACGCGGGATACGCGGCTTTCGTCGCCGACCTGTGGGGTGCGGACGTCGCCAGTGGCAGCGAACTCAGCAGAGAGGAGCAGGACGCCGCTATCGGTGAGGGCCAACAAGCAATTGTGACTTGACTCGGAGTGACTTGACCGTCCGTTGTGTGCATTTTGTATCACGCTGGTTATTTATGGCGTAAACACTTTCTATTTACGGCTATTTACGGGTATAAATGGTTTTTACGTTTTTACTTGGAAATTGCCGTAATAATGGGTAAAATGGATACTTAAGAACAATACATACAAAATCAAAAAATCCAGGGAGTGGCGGGTAGACACGCTGAAGTATGCATGAAACGATCTTTTGCTTGGCGACGTCGTTGCCTTGCTGAGGGCGAGGTGCGCGCCTTACTGCAGGTGCTGGAAAGAGTGGAGGATTGATCTTTGATTGGGGGACATCAACATGTAAAATGGTGTATCTACTAGCCGGAAATGCGCAAGCACGCCGGTTTCTATATTTACGCGTATTTAGCGCAAAAATGTTCACGTAAAAATGGTACCATAACGTAATTAACAAACCTGTTTGGCATCCACTACAGCTGTCACAAAGCGACGAGAGCAGCCCAAAGTGCTGGCGTGACGAAGTCGCAAAGTGTCCTCGCCTGTCCTGTCCGCTGCTGTTAACACCACGTTCGTCATCATCGTCGCTCGTCGCCCCTCGCCCGTCCCGCGTCGCACGTCGCCCGTCTCCCATCACCCGTCACTCGTCGCTCGCCAATGCGGTTCGTCGTTCAGCGTTGGTCGTCTGTCAACGTTCGTCGTTTGTGTGGTGCTTGTCTTTCGTCGTGGTCGTCGTTTGCTCCCCCTGCGTTCGTTGATGCTCGTCGGCGTCGTTGTCATCGCCGTCATTCACCTTCGTCGTTTGTGGTCACAGTCGCTTGACGCTGGTGATCAGGGCCATAAAAAATCGTCGTCGTCCATGGTTATCATCGTCGATATCGTTCTCGTCTTGACCGCCGTCGCCATCATCATTTATCCAACAGGTCGTCGGCTGTGGGCCCGACCCTGTAGCCTGCATCATCTGCACTCCTGTGTGTGCAGGAGTTCATTCTCTGGGTACCCAAACGGTTCCAAAATGCAACAACTCCAAATGCCGCCAACGGAATCCAACGCACACTTTTTGTCACGTGTGATAAGATACTCCGTACGGAAACTGTGCATCAGCTATAGATACATTCTGTGCCATTCATTCCATTTCCGTGTTGTCAGAATTCTTTCACCTCTTCTCGTTCTGCAGCATTGGCATCACAGTGGTCTCTTTCAAGGGGCCGCAAAGCAGCTTGCAATTAAACGTCCCAGATGTTGAGGAAATTTCCTGATTTGCGCATACTTGGCATCTATCTGCAGCTCTTCTCCTTAGATCCGTCCTTGCCTATCTGTATTGCATGCACCTGGAAATGTTTGCCATGCCTAACGTGCAATTCAATGCGCCCTGGCCCAACCCAAGGGCAGCTATGACTGCCAAACGATATGCGCTTGAAGGATCGTGCCTGTGGCTTATTCCTGTGCTGGTTGCAAGACCCTTGCACAGTTTCTGTGAAATTCCAGCATCCAAACTCTGTGCCCACCCATGGCGCTGTGGGATCTAATGGCCCCTGTGTGCACATCAGAGAGCCTCGTTGATGACCCTACGGAGTGGCTGGGCCGAGTTCAGGCCGCACTTGACGCCGCAACGGGACAGGACGCCAGCGTCGTCGACCCGGAGTCTGTGGCTTCCATTGGCTATGGATTTGGCGGCGCCACGGTGCTGGAGCTGGCTCGTTCTGGTGCCGATGTTCTGGCAGTCGCCGCCGTCCATCCAACCACGCTGACTGCTGTGGGCCCTGCGGGAGCGTCTTTTGAAGGCCGCGTGCTGGTGGTGGTGGGAGACGGACAGGAGGATGTCGCGAGCGCGGACATTTTCGAGTTCGAGGACGAGCTGCGTGCGCTGGGAGCGGTGTGGGAGGTACGGGGTGTGTAAGTCCTGGATGTATGCTTGTTGCCTAGCTCCAGTGCGGGTTTGAAGGTGTGCGTCCCATTTCCCATGGTTCTAACTTCTCAAGTTCGTGTGAATCAAATTGTGCAAGTGAAAAGATTGGCAAGCAAATAATGCGGTGCACTGAATGCTGAGAGTGGCAAGCTGGTCCTGTGCACTGCGGTCGCCGAAGCGGAAGGCCCCTAATACTTGCAGCTGGATGTCCCTGCGCCATGCGTCGTGAAAATTTTGATTGCGATTGCCGAAACCGGCAAAGTCCTGGCCTTGCACATGATTGGCGACGTTGGCCACGAATTTGCACACAGAACGGTCATGATTTGGACACATGCCGCTGTCAAACAGATGTGGACAGAAATGAACGTGATTGTAATGTTGGGTCTGCTTCAGAACCAAATCACAACAGCACAAGATTTCGTTTCTGTTTCGGATATCCAGACATGTACTGGACAAGTTTGCGGTCCCGCTTTTAGAATCCAAACGCTATGCACACGTTCACGCTTCTGCTTTAAAAGATCGAACGTGCTGCCACGTTCCCGTTTCGGTGGCACGGACCGTCGTCTCCTCCGTGCAAGGTCTGAAGTATGCCCATTGGTAGGGGCTTGTTCGCTGACACCAGTGCGTATTCGCAGGTCATTCGCCTGGCCAAGGCCAAGCAGGCTTTCACCTTGCCCACAGCAGACGACTTCGATGTCGTTTCCGACATCCGCACATGGCACGCAGTCACAGGTGAGACAAAACGATGCCATGGAGGATGGAAGTTCGCATCGATCGTGACCGCCATCTTCGTGTCTGCAATGCAAGACAGCATATCACTATAGTTGGGCACACTGAAGTCGCTGTGGGGACATGTTTGTAAACTAAGCGAGCATTGAATTGAGTTGCACTTCAAAGCTAAAGTGTACATTCCCTCATATGGGATGGATGCAACCTGCTGGGATGTTTGGGTCGAAGATATGGTGTCATTTTGATGACATAATTGTAATGTAAAGTACTGGGCTAGAGTTTAGCTCTTGCGTTTAATGTACAGCGGTTGTAAGCGCGCAAAAGGGGCATCAGCTTCCTCGCTTTTTTTTCCCCGTCAAAAATTTAATCCTTCCGCATTAGAACATTTTACCGAAAAATTTTGGCTCATATTTTTCTTTTCAGAGCGTTATTTGTCTTGTCTATGTTGCTGCGCAGAAATTTTACTAATTTTTCACGGCCAAGAGGCCAAGCGTCACGTTGCTATGCGGAAGGAATGTTTTACGGTAGAGGACGTCAATGCGAAGAGACACGGGCGTCTAAATGCGCTCCTTGTGTCTTCAGAGTTCCTGCAGCAGGTGTTTGATCCCGACCTTATCGAGTACCTGGACGACCCCTTCAGCGTCACCGGCGTGGACGACTCCACCCTGACTTCGATGGACTTCGAGTACATGGAGGGAGACGTGCTGCTGAGGGGCTTCGTCTCTTACCCGGCCGACGCTCAGGAGCAGCTCCCCGTGATGCTCATCATCCCCGACTGGGACGGCATTGGCGACTACGAGAAGTGGAGGACAAAGTTGGTGGCCATGGAAGGCTATGTTGGTGGGTTGCAAACCATGGTGCTGTCGCTGTGAACTGGCTGCCCTTGTGTAGTTTGGATAGCGCATATAGCTGCGCATAACTGCATAGCTGCACAACTACGAGTAGCATTCATCTTGCGAATCCCCAAGCGGGGTGCAACATGCTGTCTGTGTGATTTTTTTAATTTACTGTGGACTGCGGCTGTGCCACGGAATTTTCGGACTTTGAAGAGAAGACTACGGAAAGCCAAGGAATGAAACACATATTGGAAGGCCAAACAACCATGTGCGAAGTTTGCATCACCGCGATGTTCCCAGTTATCTGCAGATATCACGTTTGTCTGGAAACTACCCCCCTGACATTGATGTAGTCTCAGCGTGTACCCTGGAGCGACCTGCGAGGATCGTGAATGCATGGCCCCCGTCATTGGCGACGACCAGCCAAGGGGCTGCAACGTTCACCGATCCTGTTCCGGGACAGAAAGCTGCACCTGGTGCAATTATTGTTCAGTACATTTAATAAATGCAAATTGTACTTAATATAGTAATATATGTATGTCGTGTCGTGAAATGATTGTGCATGAGGCCAATGCCTGTGCGGGTGGCTGACCTGTCCTGACGGGGAAGTTGGGGCCCGGGACTTCTCTACTGTCGTCTCTCAGGTTCAGAGGCGCAGCCATTGTGCGCAATCGCACGCTGCGATCGTCGGGGAGCGTCTCTAAAGACTTCCTTTAAAATGAAAGGACAATGGTAAATTGTTCATTTTGCACAGTTCAAGTCCGCATTGAAGTCGCGTTAAGCGGCGGTAAATGGTGCAGCAGTGATGCAGCACGGCATTAAGGATGAACCGGATTGGTGCACACCTTCTTGAAGACGTGTTTCTACAACACAGTGTTTGGATTGTGGCAATACGTTAGGCTCTCCTGGGAAAAGTCATGGACGCTGCTTTGCTCGGTCGAAAAAGGGAGCTGATGGCCACCTGCTCGCCTCAGTATGTGACAGTTCTTGGTGATTGCGGGGGCGAGGAGATTAAGCAAGCAGCTATAAAGGAAATGTTGCCAAGTGTGGTGTGGCTGAACACGGGGAACGTGGTGTTAAAAATGGTGAAATGAATAAGGAGTTACGGTGATTGCTTGGTGAGAACACTTGCAGTGAGTACTATCAATTGATGTTCTTGTCCTGTGACGCTTCTGGCTACAGCTGGGATTCCTGTGCCTGGGAGCGGCTGTGTGAGAGCATCCTTGGCTTTCGTCTCAACGATGATGAAGATGTGTTTTCCGTCCCGTAGGTTTCACGGCGGACATCTATGGCGCAAACGTCACGCAGGGCCCCAGCCTGCCCATCGACGAGCGGAGGGCGTTAACTTCCAGCTTCTTTACCCCGGTGACGCTGTTCAGGTCGCGCATGGCGGCTGCCCTCGCCGCCCTGAAGAGCGACGCGCTGTCCCCTGTCGCGGACGCCTCGAAGGTGGTGGCCATCGGGTATTGCTTCGGTGGCAGGGGCGTCGGGGAGCTCATGCGGGACGAGCCCGAGGGTGTCATCGGTGAGTCAGCGGGAGGCTAGCGAGCACCAAGCGTCCTGAAGATGATGCGTTGTGCGGGCGATCAAGTTATTGTTTTAGCTATTATCAGGAACTCGCTCTTAGTCGAACTAAAAGTAAAGTTAGAATCCCTAATTGAAATCCCTAAAGTTCAGGAGTTAAATTAATCTAGATTAAAACGGGCCCATAATTAAGGATCAAGTTCTATTTGAGCATGCCTTCGCTGAGAGCAATGACGCGTTTGGATGGAAGGGTGTTGAGCGAGTCCTTTGTTCGACGCGCCACAGTGCCGATGTCTTGACGTCACGCTTTGTGGATTGCGGTGCTTTTGAAGTGGGAAATGTTTTTCATTTCGCAGCTATGTGCGTTTAGTGGCATCCACGGTTTCTCTGTCTCAAGTTTAGTAATGGTCGCTGGCGTCCTCGTCGTGTTTCCAATAGGGCTAGGGAGGAATATTCAAGGACTGTCCCTGCCAAGGTGATTCGGCTCCCCGTTTGCCCGCCGCTTCGCTGCTGAGGCGTGCGCTTCGAACGATTGACGCTCTTCTGCATTGCGTGGCTTTGTCCGGCGTCTGTGCGCGGCTCCGTCCTCAAGGCCCTTTTTGGAAAAAGCGGTACAAACAGATACTATGAAGCACTGGGCCCTGTACCACATGTTCCAATTTAGCAGGGCCTCAGTTGTGCGCTGTTTCGCAGGTGTGGGCAGCTTCCACGGCGGCGATATGACTACCATGGGCTCGGTGGCCCAAGAGTGCAACAACATCGCGACAGCCGTCTTCAATGGAGCCAACGACTGGGTGACAGATGAGCAGATCGATGAGTTCATTGTGAGTACGAGTCGGCCTGGACGCGGCCGAGGCTGCAGATCTGTCCACTTTTTGTGGGCGCGTTATTTGTCGAACTGGAGCAACACCTGATGTCCCCATGTCTGGCGCCCTGTCGCAACCCCTTCCGACGGCGTTTGTCATTGTCACTGCACACGAATGTGCGTGCATCCAGGACATCGATCAATTAGTCAGTCAAACGGCCATTAGAAATTGCAATTTCCTCATAGATGCTGCAGAAAATGCTGTGCATCATTCGCAGTTTTGTGCCGAGACAGGTATGCTTTTTGATCGGCCGACGCATCGACGCTAGCGACGCCGTTGCTGCCAAGCGGGCAGATTCAGCAGCAGTGCTCGAATTTCCGCAATCTGATCATCTACCTTGCTGCTGTGTCCCATTCTGAAACACATTTCATCCATGTGTTGTGATGGTCTGCTCAGATGCCCTGTACGGTATGGTGGTGTGGTGAGACAGTAATGTACGAAAGTGTGGATGGATGGGACGCTACGTACAGATGTGAATGTGGGGACAGCGTGGACAGAATCACTGGTTGTCTGTGGATGACCTGCCGTGAGATTACAACCTTGCGTGGGTTCACGGTGCAATGGCGGATTGGTTGAAATGCGTTTCATTGCCACTCTCCGTCAGGCCGAGATGAACGCCGCCTCAGTGAACTGGGAGTGGCACAACTACGGAGGCACCGTGCATTCATTCACCAACCCCGAGGTTCCCAGAGACGGCGAAGGCAACGCCTATAATCCGGTCGCCGATCTCAGGTCATGGGAATCTGTGAAAGCCTTCATGGAGACTCTGATCTCGGAGGGCAACCCCTATGTTGCCTGCCCCGAATCGCGCCGTTGAGGCCAAACGAGCGCTGATAGCTTCCTTCACACGGGCTCACTGGTACCTCGTTGTGAATGAATAAACGGGCGATCTGCACTGCTGTTTATGGTGCTCAGTCGATGGGAATGTTGATGTTGATGCGCGTGAACACGGGGCTACGCGCTGTGGCTTAGGTGGTTAGGGCACTTTCGCAGGACTCTCTGTTTGGCATGCTTTCGACGTAGGCCAATGTGTAGAAATCTTTGGACGTGATGGGGTCCCTCTTTGAGCTGTCCCAGTTGCTGCTGGGCTGCGTCTTTCAAGGACCCGTGGCCTCCCCCGCATCCGCAATGGGGTGGCGTCAACGTTTTGACCTGTGGGTGGTGGGCGCAGAGGATGATGTCCGAATGGTGTCCTTCGATTTACATCCGTGCCGTTCGGTGAGCCCCGCTGTTTCAAGGGCCCTGCAACTACCCAGTGAGAGCTGCAGCGTAGAGCGCCCAGGCTTTAACGCCCACAGTTCTCTTTACCACTTTGACACCGAACTCATGTTGCGTGTACCAGATCAGTGAATAGGTGAGTGCTACTTGAATGACATTCTACCAGTCAAGGACGTGATTGACACCCCAGCTGATGATGCTGTGTGCCCTGATCCTGCCGATGTGTGAATGTGGGAATAACAAGTTGTGCGGTCCATATATGGTATTTGTGGACGTTGCCAGTTGAGCCAGATCGCACGAAGACTGGATGCGAATGCTGCAAGGGCGATTTCAGCACATTTGGTGTCAAGTTGATAGCAGAGATCTGGAAAGAATTCCGTGCATTACAGAGGCGCTGGCACATGATTTGCACATTTGGTCTCTCAGGAGCGCCAGGCGCGGCTGCTCTGGCGTAGTTTGCGAGCATGAACCACCAGGGCAACCGCAAAGTCGTGCCAGTGTTGGTGGTGTTGGTGGTGCGGGATCCGCTGGTGCTTCGAAGCAGGTGTCCTTGGGGGGAACTCTTTTGAACGAAGGCGCTCGCAAGGAAGGACCTTGCGGACGGCAGCGTTCATCGCCCCGTGTAATCTTGTAAACGTTACAATTGTACAGCTTGATCTGCGGTCACATCCACCGTCGCAAACCACAACAACCCTTCCTGATATATTCCCGCTACTCTGGACAGGCGAGACACCTGCATGCCTGGTGGAAAGAGCAAGGCCTTGCCATTCCCCACGCAGTTCCGTTTAGCGGTTGTTAGTGGACGCGCCTAGTGTATTGTTAGAGAAGTCGAAACCCCTTCCATTTTCTGGCCTACGTGCAGTTGATGACAGTCAGTTCATACTGTGCTATTATTGTTCACATTGCAGAGTGCCAGCAATGCTACACTCCGCGTTCGTTTCACACACTGCTCAGAAGCAGAAACGATGGCACGGCATTGTCACGACCACCGCTCGCTACCTCGCAACCGTCTCTAATCCCAGCCTACCTATAAAAAATCCAAATCCTGAACCTTGAAGTGCTCCAGTCATCGCCCCCGATCGCACATTTGAGGCGCTATGGGTTGGAGTCCCAGCATCCAATGTTAATACTAATTGCAGTCGTATACGGACGCGCTTTGCACGTACGCCACTGCTGTAGTGCTTCTGGCCAAGAGCAGCTGGTTGGAACGTCCACCGAAACCATGCAGAGCTCCTGTTTCAGTAAGGACCCCTTCCACCTTCTCTTCCAGACTAATGTTTCCACACTGGCCCACACCGGGTGTGCTCCGATGGATGGGCTGTTTTCCTCCATGACCATCTACCTATCCTCTTGTTCGAAAGACGGCTGCACTGTCGCAGTGATGTGCCTCGAGTATCCCCTGACATGCACAACTCATGGATACCCATTCTGTCCATTGGCAGCCCTTTGCACATATATCACAACTAGCGCTCCTTCGTCCCCCGTCACTGCCGTGGCAAACCTACATAGACATTTTGCCTGGGGACAACGCCCCATGCTGTCCAAGATCATGCCGACAAGTCTTCACCAGCCTGTGGCCCCCCTTGTGCCGTTCCGCTTATGCCTCCTTATGGGCGAACAGCACATCCATCCAAACAGCCAGTACCACATTCCAGCCGCTTGGGGGGACAACGCGTCTACGACAGGGGGGGCGTCATCTGGGCCCTCAAATCTCACCTTGCCGCCACACAAATTCCAGATCATCTTCTTCTTTTCAAGGATCGCATCCAATGGGAGGTTTCTGCATGAACAACAGCGAATGGGTCAGAACCATTTGAACAGGGCCCACCCCAGTTGCGTAATCAGAAGGTTTCAATTTTGAGAGCGAAATCGATGGCTGACCATCATGTGCATCGAAGGTGGGGCTCTTGGAATGTGCCATATGAAGCCATACTCCAGCAGAATGAACATTGGCATTAACTAATGAGTGGAAGCAATGATCAGTCGGAACCCCAATCAGTGGTAAGCGAGACTGCCAAAGCCACTGCTCTGCTACGACGCCTGAATAGGCAGTGCCTCCAGTCGCGATGATAATTGACCCATTCTCCAACAATGCCAGCGTTCCTCATCTGAGGTAGCTTTCCTTGTGGGCGTTCCAGCTGGGCACACTGAACTCTACGTGATCGCAAAACGAAGGAAAAGAGCTGATAGCCGCTGCTCTCCGTCCTACGACATGCTTTCTCCTTTGTCGAACATGACTCACTTGTGAAATGACTCAACTGCTGAGCCGAGTCCATCCTCTTGTTGCATGCGCTCTGAAATGGCCTTTGCCTTTTGTTTCACCTTTGGCAAGGACATGCACGCAAACGCATTGGCCAACTTGTCCGTGGTCAGATCGGTTATGTATACAGGATGAGGCCCCACGCCGGCCCTGTGGCAGGCATCGGCCCAAAATGGCTGGTCACCAAAGAAGGGAGTGATAAATGTGGGGCAGCCGGCTAGCAGCCCAGCTGCGGTCGTGCCCGCACCACCATGATGCACCACAGCAGAGCATCTGTTCCAAGGTACACAAGGGCAGACAGCTGTGTCAGTAATCTTTGCATGCCATGCGTTCTTGCTGAGTTGAGGGGTTCTGCGCAATCTACTGCGTGACAAAAAGGTGGCTCGCATTGTCGCGTCTAGGTAAGAAGAGCGCATTGTACAGCATATTGTCTATCCTTGCTGCCAAAGCCAACATTCACAACTGGTCTTGATGCAGCTGCGATTGCACATTCAAATGCTGGGCCAGTCCAAGGTCACCATCACAATACCACCTAATTGTGAGAGAGCCCTGTGGTCATGGACCCTGACAAGCACAGCACTATAACATTTTCTGCTCAAAAGGAGGGTGGCCTGGCAACCTGCTAATGTAGACGTTGGTATGAGGCTTCAACTGCACTGGCATACAAAGCCCAGAGGATGCAGCATTGTTGGGAAAATATGCCAGAAGGACTGGGAGTAACATCTTCTACATACTTTTTGACCCATCCCCCCATTCCTCTTGGCTGATGTGTGCATTGGTTGTGTGTGCTGATTTATGGCTTGAGGTGAAAGGGACCACTGTTGTGACATTGCTGACGGCTGGGATTCTGTGCTGTTTCAGAATCTTTAACCAGCACTGACAAGTGACATGACCCATTGTGTTTCACAACAATGCGAGAGAAGAGACATTAAATCATCCATCTTGTCCATCGCTTTCAAAGGGGCAGCGGCTGCTGCACAGCACCTGGGAAATAGCCAGTCGTGCGGGCAGTCGTCCAGCAGCATAATCGCCTCTGGCAGCTCAAAGCCTTGCCCCAGGTTCGACCAGCCCTTTGACAAGAGCGCCCTCACACCCGCCTTCGCAACGGCATCAAATATGATTTTTGTGAGTTCCTTGGCATTTCCAACCATCATGCTCCCAAATCCAATGTACACAGGCGGCAGTCCAGCCTGCAGAAACTCAGCGAGTTCTGGAGAGGGTTGGTACTGGAAGAGGCGTGCCTGATTCAGAAAGAAAAACCCAACCACGTCGATGTGCTGACCCCAATCGGAAGGCTTTCGAATCAATGAGGGGCTCCAGCAGTACATGAACGGTACCCTGAAAGGAAACACAAAAAAAATCCTTCATTTCATTGACCAGCACAAAAACATATGGCATCAAGTGATGACACATCGCATCCCTGTCAGGCTCATAGCTTGCAAGCTCGTTCCCAAATGCAGCTGCAATTTGTAGGCCGAAATTTGAGAAAGCAACAGGCAACATATTGCACAACACACCACATGGTTTGCATCAGCTGCAATGCTTGGAACATTGGTTTTGCCATGTCTCTCTACACACAAGCAGAACTTGCAGCGGAATGCTTCCTTTCAAGCATCAGTTCGGCACTATTGAAACAACAGCAGCTCTGGCAGCAAAGAATCTCTCTGAATGATTGAAGTGAAGGTACAAACGACTCTCTGTATCTGCCTTCAGCATCCCCATTCCACACTGCACACTCGGAGGTGTTGGCCCTGTGGTCAGGATAGGTACTTGGACATGGGGATTATTGGGCTGTCTTGAGTACTTTGTATTCAACAACAACTCCGGCACAAAGTATTTTCCTGTTAATGGGAATGCACTCACTGCCTGGTGCACAGCAGGTGCCTTGTGTCTTGCGTATTTGGCAGAGCATTCAGCCCCAAGACCTCCTTCCTGAACTGGTCCACGATGTCCTTCATCCCCAAGAACACAATGTCTTCCATAGCCACAAACGATAGCCAGGATACCCCATCCCTGATGAACTTCCTCCAACCTGTGGCGCTCTGCTTTGGCAGCACCTGGGTCAGGTGCTCTAGTCGAGACACCATTCCATCCGTGATCCTTGCAAGGGGGTTCAGAAAATCCTAAGGATCCCACACAGGGCGCAGCTCAGTCAGACACCCATGAGCATCTTTGAGAACCAAATGCTTATCGATGGCAGCTCAATCCGAGTGTGGCACAGCATCGAGCAACGGATAAACCAGGGTGTCCCAGGGTCAGACTCGCTGCCAGCCTAGTGGGTCAAGAACCAATACATCGCTGCCCCTCATTTCAATGAGTTTTGGGTTTGAAAAGGAATAACATTTCCTTGCTTGGGAGCTGGGCCACACTTTTCGGATCTTAAGTCCAGTGACCCCCCTGGCATCACCAAGGGATCAGGAATTCTTCACAGCACAGCAGCACTCTTCTGAGAGTGACATAAATCACAGGCGCAATGCCCACACATCCTCCGCTTGTCTGTTCATCACTGCGGATCAGGAAATCATCCCTCTGGGAGGCCCAGCGCATATCAAACCCTCTGCATCCAAGTCCTCGACTGACTGAACGGTGTTCGTCCACAGGCGCTTCGTCTCAGCAGGGAGTGACATAGCTGCAGTTGCCATGTCATGAACAGCCAAAACGTTGGTAGTGGGGTGTTACCTTTGTCGGTGTCCAGGGCATCGTGAACACCATGTGCAGTGGTATTCCCAGCTTCTCAGCACAATGTATGTGGCCATAGCAAGGAGGGTTGGCAATGAGGGCTTCTGCCTAGTGTGAGAAATGATGTAATTCAGCCATTGCATTGGAGCCTTGTAACATTGCCTGTCAACACACTGGTGGGATGTACACACTATTCTTGCCAAAACATCGGTCACAACTGTTTCACCATGGACTGCAATACACCGTGCTCAGAGCATCTTTATCAGTGGGTGCTATTGTTCCGGTGGTGCTATTCGGCTAGCCGGATAGCACTGCATGTCAGAACCATCATGAACGGCTGGGGAGCAATAGCACCCCCGATGCTATTCGGTGCTGAGCGGTGCCATTCTGGGCCCGGATAGCACCGCTCGAGGCCAAATAGCACCCCGGAATAGCACCTGGTGCATTTGCTCAGAACATTGTAGTGCCGCCACGATGCCATCTGGCACAAGAATAGCTCCAGTGCTATTCAGCAAATGCCACCTTAGTAAGGTGGCACGGCAGCCAATGAGAACCGTTCTTTAATAGCTCCGCTGGTGCAATAGCACTGACTGACAAAGATGCTCTCAAAGCACACATCACAGTACAGAGCGGACAAACCAAGACCAGAGCGAAACAGCCACACTGTATGGCACCACCATCGAGCAACAGGCATCCAGAATGATCAACAATGCAAGCAGTCAGGAGCTTTCCACAGGGCACTTCTGGTGCGCACATCGCAAAAGAAGCCAGGCCTAGAGCTGAGCAGCAAGGCAACAGAAAGAATCAAGCACGCTCTCTCTGATGTCAGACCACATGTTCAAGTTATTGTCCAGGCTAAGGTGGTAACCAATTCAGCTTGCGAGAATTAAAGCCAAATAAGCACCTGCAGTCAAGACTCTTTTGGTAGTTGTCAGGGTGAGTGCCAAGGAACAGAAAGTGCACGGAAGTTCATTGTCTCCAACCACACAAGCTGCAGCTGCACACCATGAACTCCCTCCCATCGCCTTGTGGATCTGGGCAGATGCATGCTCCGTAAGTCGAATAGATGATTTCGCGCAGCTGCTTCCTGTTTTCAGCCACGTCTGACATTTTTATCGGCAAGACGCCCCTGCAAGCAAGGCACAGCCATGTGTGAAGTACAACAAAGGCCAGCACCGGCACCAAATGGCATGTGTGCCTGTGACAAGGTTGCTCGTAGCCTGCATCGATGCCTGCAAGACAAGAGCTTCAATGCACGTCATCATGTCACCCTCGTGTTGCATCGTGGAGGTCTGGCTCTCCCTATCTGACGAGATAGAAGTAAGCATAGGAGTAGAAGTCAAGCTGCAGACATGCTTGTGAGCAATAGCTGCCTAAGCAGGGCCACTGGAGACAGCCACCAGGGACACAATAGTCTCCATTACTAAAGTGCTGTCTTCTAGCCTAATGCAGTAATGAGCAGTTGAGAGAAAGGCAAGACACTCCTGTCGATTGCCCTTCATCTCAGGACTGCAAACATCAGGAGTGAGAAAAGTCAGGGTGGTGATATGGTGAGGTGAATACAGAAGCAACACACATGCATATGTGGGTGCCCATGTGATTGTAAGTTTTGCTTCGCTTTGTTGGTAATGGGTACACAATATCTAGCCACCCGTGGCGCGCTGAGCTCTTTCACAAGAATGCATTTGTGATGGACAAGACTTAACTCACGGTCGCAACTGGGCTCTTACATGCAGCAATGCAGCGGAAACAGAAAGTGTTGCCCCTTGAAATTCCAAAGTAATCAATGTATACCACATTTTGCCAAAAATGTATTTGGCCAACAACTGCAACTTCAACATGGCATTCACATAGATGCAGGAAGAATGCTCTGTTAACTTCTCTGATATTGTGCACATTCCTGGAAGCCCCATCGGTTTGCAACGTGACTGAATCCGCTGTTGCTGAGATTTTGTTCCTCTGTTTCCCAGTTCTTGGCTTCACAGGCAGGTTAAGACACACGATCAAAAATTGGCACAAACCATCCTGAAATTCTCTTGCCTGTTTCAAGACTGTGCTTTTCAATGTCTTGTCAAGAATTTGACATATTCTAAGGATTCACACAGACACAAGTTGTTCTCACCTGTTTCTAACCACAAACTCACAAATAACTTTGGGATCTCCACCCAGGGGATAGAACTCCAGGCCCGATGCCAGCACAAACTCCCGATAGACACTGTGTGAGGCAACACGCACACGGTGACCATACGCCTGCAAACGTCGACCTAGCGCGATGAACGGCTGCACGTCGCCTCGAGTGCCGACGGCCTGGACAGCACCACAACGCAGAGGACAATCACACCTGGTGCATGTGGTGGAGATCTGAGGGCACAGGAACTGCAACTGCGCTCGTTGCCAAAATTGCACTGCAACGAAGCCCTTTTGCAATGTTATCGACTGATAGGCACCTGGGTACCGCTGGTTAGTGATGCAACTGTTGGACCCTGCGACTTAGTCTCTTTCCTAATGTACCGCCCAAGGCTGCCCATGCAATGCGAAGGGTCCCGGAGCATGCATCAAAAATTGAGGAGTGGACATATCTGTGCATTGCATTGTTCTGTTCAAAACACCACGTCCCGTACATTACACCAGGCTTTGCCCGTGTTCTACCCCGAGGCAAGGAATATCAGCTCGTTCGAGCTTAGCCATGGAAGCTGTTCAACAGGCATCTTGGGGCTAACAATCCCTCCCATTCTCCACCCCTGCGTGTGCGCCTGTGCCGTCATTGTATTGTGGCAACGTCCGTGCTGGGCGCCAGACGATGTTCGGAAGCGGTCTTCAGACCGATGTTCAGCGCACAAGTGGAACGGCCCGCTTGCTCGAATAGGTCGGTTGCTCCGTTGCACAATGACCCATTCCTTCAGCGAGGGGGTGGCCGTCACACGGCAATGAGCCCCATGCACCAGCAAAAGACTGCGCACCGCAGCACCCGCGCGGTGCCAACGCCTTGGCTACCCCGGCCCAAAGCCAAGCCGCCGATGTCGACCGCACACACGGCGCCTCGTCCCACGCCATCCCGCGTGGGAAGGCAACCGAGCCGATCAGCACGTCACGGCACATTCCGCACACGCTCTCCTGGAAAGAGAACCCGGTATCTCTCCGCGCTGCCTCTTCTTCAGATCGTCTCGCCAAGGCGGTGGCTCCCACGCCCCAGCGCCCCGCACACACGCCCGGGCTGTCAAAGAGCCTTAGCACTCAACGCGCGCTCGCGACGGGGGTCGATCGCTGAGCAACCCGCGGTGCCCCGCCATGCGCCAGGCCAAACGCGAACTTTGAGAGCAAAGGTCGCGCGTCCGCCATCGCCACGCCTTTCAAAACGCGCCCCGAGCGGCGGTCCGCGCTTCCCCCCCGTCGCTCACCATGATGGCAACGCGCAGGTGCGGCACCGCCTTGCCGTCCGGCCGGCCCTCCGCCTGCGATCTCTTCCTCCCCGCGGCGTCCGCGGGCGCCACGCTCACAGATGCCGCGCCGGCCTTCCCCCACCGCCCACCGCCCCCGCCGCCCCCGTCAGACGGACCCACCTCCCCGCCCCCGCCCCTGCATCCCTCCTCGGCGCTCAAATCTCCGCCACAAGGCAATACCGACATTTTCCCGGGCTCGGCGCATTCCAAGACGCCCTCCGCGGGAGGCGGCCCCGCCGATTGCGCCCCCCCGCGGCCCCTGATAGGCCCCTCGCCCCCTCGCCCCTCCCCCGGGGGGCAGGCGCCCCCGGACATCGCCCCTCCCGCCTCCCGCAGGGTCTGTTTCGGCTCTTGGTCGGCATGCCCGCCGGCCTCAACCATCCGCGGGCAGCCACAGTCGGCCGCAGCGAAATCTTGTGTAAGCTCTTTCCACCCCAGCCGCTGCGCCGCGGGCGCGGTCAGCTTTGTTCCTCGTTTGGCGCTCGGCGGCGCGCCGCAGAGCTCGCGAAAGGCTTTCGGCGCCTGCCGGGTTTGCCTTGGGCAGGGGCGCCCTTGGGGCAATTACTGAGCGTTGGGGCAAGTTGGTGAGCGACAGTCAGGGCGGGGCTCCTGGGAACTGTCTGCCAGGCCGCCCCGCGCGGCTGAGTTGGAGGCCGGCGGGGCGGGGCCAGGGCGGCCCAATCAGGGCCACGGCAGCGCACGACTCAGTCAAGCGCCCCACGCGAAGCATCCGCGAAGTCACCGCGCGGATCTCAAGGGGCAAGATGCGCAAAGCAAAGGACACGATGTTAGAATGGACGGTGGCTTTTCTCAAGGGAGGGTCAGAGTGCTTCCTGAGGTACTTTGCAACCCTGCCCTTTATTCATCGCTGTGGCCTCGAGCGGGTCGGGATGGATATTCCGCCGCCCAATCCGCCGCCCAATGGGCTACAACGGCCGCGTTCTCTCCAACTGTGTAGTCGGCAAATGTGAGCGCTGGAGCACATTCGGGCCCGCTTGCAACGCGGGGTGTGAAGCAGCGTTAAACCCAAGCTGCTGGCCAACTGGGCACCACAACTTGGCATGAGGATTGGAGAGGCAGCGGCCGAAAGAGGGATTGCGGTGCACGCCGGGATGTCGGGGTGTGTTTTCAAGATAGCGGTGTCTGTCATGAAGTGCACGCGACTGGCATGCAAAGAATGGCCCGCTGTTTAGCCCCAGAGTGTCTCCCATCAAACGCTCGCCTCAGTACCCCACCGACTGTCACACTTTCCAACTTGCGAGCTGTGGCACACTTCCAGTCAACAGCTCAAGTCGATCAGTCAGTCTGTCAATTAGTCGTTCATCGTCAATCGATAAATCACAGTCACAAAAAAGATATCGGAGAATATCACATCTCAAGGCAACAAGGTCGCCGCAAGGCCCCGCTCCCGCCCCCCAAAGCATCCTGCCTTCGCACGATCCTGGAACACTCCGCCAATCAGCGTGGACGCCAGCTTCGCCTGACCTTCATCCCCCACGTCGCAATCGAATTTGAATTCAATCTGCCAATCATCGACCTTAATGAAGGCGGTTCCTCCTTTAGACGGGGACTCATTGGCCGCACGCCTCCCAAAGCAGGAAAAATCCCTGGAGGCGAGGCAGGGCGGCACCCCACCCCCCCGTGCCGTCCCCTCGTCCCCGCCGCCCTCTCGCGTGCTCGCGCCTCGCCTACCTTGGGGCATCGCAGCGCCCAGCATGGTGACTCGGGTCTACGTTGGCAATTTGGATCCGCGCGTCTCCGAGCGGGACCTGGAGGATGAGGTGCTTCTGCCGCGGCTGCTGCCCGGCGATGGGCCGCCCCCTGTTGATCTTGAACAAGTGCTCGTCTGCGGATATTGGGCGCGTGATAGTTGAAAATAGGATTGCAGTGAATTGTGTGCGCGGAGGGTGGGGCAATGCCTCGCAAGAGTACCGCACCGGCGGCCTTCTCGGTGGATGGAACTGCTGCCGACGGACGCTTGCGGAGGCGCCCGTGACCAACGAGGGGGGCGGATTCTCTGCGAGGGACCAAGCCTTGGGCGATGTGGCAGTGTGGCGGTGCGGCGTCCTTGGGTGCGGGTGGCCGCGCGGCGGAGGGTGGCTCAGAAGGGTCAGGGGTGTGTGGGCTGCATTGCACGGCCTGACACGGATCATGTGCGTGTTCCCGTGCAGTTCGCCCGCTTTGGGTACTTGCGGAACGTCTGGGTGGCTCGCAACCCTCCCGGCTTCGGTAAGCAGCGCTTTTGAAATTCACCTGAGAAAATTGCTGCTCATTTATCGTTGTCGGCTGCAAGCATCATGAAGAATGCCGGGTGCCGATTCGCGCCTGCAGCCATGCTTGGTTGTGCTCAAAATGGCTGGTTCTGGCCGTCAGCTCAGCGCTTCCAAGCTCGGTTTGCTGCCAGCTGTGCATTTTGACATGGCTTGTTACTGGGAACCAACCTCGTGTGCACCCAAGATAACTGTCGCATTTTTCGCTGGCACTGTCGTCGATACGCTTCGCGCCATTCCAGAAGTGGGAGCTGAGTTTGCTGCGCCGGTGCTGACAGCTTTCCTTGACTACGATGACAACCGAGACGCAGATGAGGCCATCAGGAAGATGGATGGTGAGATGAATGACAGCTCACCCGCATCCCACTCCACTCCAGTAGCTCGATCAAGCCTGCCGATAGAGATAAAATACGGCGTCATGCCATTGGCCCAGGAGTTTCATTTTAACAGAAGGGAAACTGTGTGCTCAGCTGCTGAAATGGCAGTGCACAACAGTTTGTTTGTCAACTTCACAAGTGTGTGCATTTCCACGCTCACAATTGGCTGAGCAATAGTCTCGTCCAGATGCACCTACCCTCAAGATATATGTACCCAGCATCAGGATGCCACCAAAGTGCAGAACATCGACATATGGAAGATGCAAGGAATGCTGCCCAGATGATTTGATGCTGTGTGTTGGCCATTCACTTTGATCAGGCAGCCATGGCTGGCGTGTGGAAATCTCCCACAAGGATGGTCAGTTTGGTTCCCGCTCCCGCATGCCTCCAAGAGGCAGAGATGGGAGGGATATGGGGTATGCAAGAGGAAGAGATTTTAGGTGCGGGCCAGCCTTGTGTTCATGATTGTTGTGCCCTGAGGACTGCTGTTGTTTCAAGGCAGGTCACCTTTTCCTCAACTGGTCATGGCACTGGGTTGCTTGGACACTTGCATGGTACCTGCGACTTCGAAATGTTTGTGGAATATGTTTGTGTCCAGATCTTTGTTGCCTCTGCATCTGCACCGTTGGCTGTGCTGTGTCTGCGATGATGGGCAACCCCAACATCGTTATTGTTGCAGGTGCTACGAGTGTGGAGACGTAGGCCACCTTGCCCGGGACTGCAGGATAAGAAGAGCAAGGACACGGAGGTTCACAAGGTTGGTTCATGTATTGATCCTGATCGATGGACCACCAGTTGTGCCCTTGCGTCAGCAGGACTGGCTGCAAGATCCCTGGCATCACTTTACAGCAATTCCGTGACACGCTTCCGAGCCAGTCGCCGTGTGTGCAGTGCAATGTGTTGTTCCTAATCCTTTGTTGCAGATGCCCTGAGCAGACTTGGTGTTGCAAAGGTCATGAATGCAAGGGGGAGCGTGTTTGTTTGGGCTTGGGGCAACTCTGTTATGATCAGGAATTGGTACCAGTGCTGAGACATTTGATATTTGCGGGGCTCGGTTGCAACAGCCGCAGTATGAGCAGGAGCCGCAGCCGTAGCCCTCGACCCAGGCGTCGATCTCGCAGCCACAGCGGGAGCTACAGGAGCCGCTCTCCTAGGAGAAGGAGCAGGGGCAGGAGCAGGAGCAGGAGCAGGGGCAGGAGCAGGAGCAGGAGCATGACACCCGAACGTGGTCGTGCACGCTACCGCAGTGGTAGCGGGGACAGGCGGAGCAGTGGCGACCGAAATGGCAGCAGGGATTGGAACACCAGCCGGGAGCGCAATGGCAGCCGTGGTCGCAAAGGGAGCCCGGGGCGAGACAGTGGCCAGGAGAGAAATGACAGCCGGGAGCGAAATGACAGCCGAGAGCAAAAGGACAGCAGGGACCGGAATGTTAGCAGGGAAAGGAGCGTCAGCAGGGAACGCGGTGGCAGCAAGGATGGCAGCCGAAGCCCATATAAGTCACCTACCCCTCGCAAGAGCCCTTCTCCGGCGAAAAGCATGAGCACAGCCCCAAGCGCAAGCCCCAGAAAATATGCAGAAGAGGCGAATGACGAGTAGCCTCTTCCAGCACTGCCAAAGATATGCACCACTTCAGTGGGAACCCAGCGACCAGTGGCTGTTTAGTTTTAAGGTATTCAACAGCTGAGGTATGGGGCTTAGATTGCTTGCTAATAATGTTCTGTCTGGCTGCAAAGATTTGGTGAGATTGAGTGAGGTTGACATTTTGGGTATCTGGACTTGTGAGTTGCCCTGTGGCGAAGCCAATATTGTGTATCTATGCTGTGGTCACTGAGGCCTGTGGCAAGCATGAGCTGTTGAGATTCCACCGACGGTGTCTACTGGGGCAGAGGCACAGGGCCCGCGGGCTTACCAAGGCGCAGCCTCTTGCTGGGGCTGGAACAGGCTGTCCCACGGCAATCGTGCCTTGGGCCCGACTCTCTGTTCCTTTCAAAGTGCAGTCCCTGCATTGCCTGTTGTATCATTGGCACTCATGCTGTTGCTTGCTTGTAAGTGGTGCTGCCAGCTGATCAGTATGTTGTACCTGCCTGCCAGGCCAAGTTCGATGCACTGATTTTTCATGGCTTCTTTTGACCCACTTGGGTTGGTGGAGGTCGACACTCTCCATGCAACTGCCGTAGACTAGCCTCTCGTGCCCGCTCGCCACGGTGGTCGGCCTCTCCTCTCCACAATGTTCCCTAGACTTTCTAGACTCTGTGGGCATCCATTCTGCACTCGCCACCAAATGTGCGGCTGCGGGGACCCAGCTCGGTGTCCAGCTCGTCTTGTTGGGCTGTCGTCTTGCTAAATTCGCACCTCTCCATGAACCTTGGCCTAAATGTTGGGTGCTGAGTGGCTCCAAGCCGGCAGCAGATGAATTGTGGTGTCAGCTTGTCTGCGGTGGTGCGGCGACCAAAGCACTGTGTGCTTGCTTTGTGCCTTGGATCCGTGGTGCTGGGATATGCTTGAGGTCCTGTGGACTTGTCTGCCTGGGGAAAAGTCCATTTCAGTGCGCTGCCTTGGCAAGTGCTGATGTTGGGTTGATCATCTTATGCCTGAGATTGTACTGCCCGGATCAGGTTTTCATGATAGGTAAGGGCATGGTGACTTGCCCACGCTGCTTGCTGTGGCACAGCCCTTTCTGTTTGTTGTGCGTGCTGTCAGGGCTGAATGCTGGAACTGAGTTGCACAGATATGTATTGTGTATGGGTCCCAGGGACCCATTGCCTAATTGCCTACATCATTCTTGTTGCCATGTGCACCACAGCATTGGAGGGACACACCGCTTGTAGGTCATATCGGTTTGTGGCATTCAGGGGGTCTGCCTCTGCATGGTGCTGGATCATGCAGCGGACGCCACACCTGGATTTGCATGGCTTGGAAACCCACCGGCTGTCGATCTCCAAAATTGCCATCAGGGTGGTGATCTCCGGATCAAGGATCGCTGCTGCAGGGAGCAGCCCCATCTGGTGCCCTGCACATTCGTGGCCATGATCGGCTAACCCTCTGCGTTTGGGTGTCGCCCTCTTGCTGTGGCAGAGGGCACAGCTGCGCACCCTCTGCCATACCCATTTTGACTGACAAGTGGCCTGTCATGATCCCACTAGTGTAGTATTATCTGTAGTGGATTGCAGTACTGAAGCACATTGTACCATGCGTTGTAGTGTAATGCTTCCTGGCTTCCCAACACCTGTGGCAGACAAAACTTTGTCTGCCACCCGAAAACTGAGTACCATGTTCATGGCCTGTGACATGCCAAGGATGCCGTCACTGGCCTTCGTTTGTTGGAAAGTCAATAGGCTGTAGCCTTCATGTTATGATTGCCTCGTAAGTCTTCCTTGCCGCAAGTGCATGTGTCTGGGTATTGAACAGTGCGAAAGTTTGCCTCTGAAGAAGATGTGTGGCAATTTAGTGGTCTCTTGGCCATGTGGACCTTGTGCTGTCGCGTCCAAATTCTTCCTTACCCAGTCGTGCAGCACCATCCTGCATTCTCTGCTGAACAAACTCGCCATCGCGCCCGGCAGCTGGGTGAACGTCGTTGCAAGCTTTGGCACAATGGAAGCAGCTCGTTTGGTATTGGCCTTGAAGGGTCTCTTGGTGCAAAAGCTAGCGGAAGCGTGCATGCTCGAATATAGCATCTGCAAATTTGGGGCTGGCAACCTCCTTGTAACCTAGCTCGGGACGCCTAGGCTGGGAGTTTTGCATCTTTCTGTTGTGAAGGCCAATGGCATCACTTCAGTATCAATGTGCACTTTACAAGGAATTTGTAATGTTTCGACAGGAGCACGCAGGTTCAGCTTGCTGGCATTGGAATTTCGATGGCCAGCTGATGTTGTGGTGACTCGTCGGCTTGCTGGTTGTCTGGTGTCCAATGCCCTTGGCGGCTGGCAGTGTGACATCCACCGGAGTACACCTGCCTCGTCGGGACAAATCGCATTCGGACCTTCCAGCTCCACAGGTCCCCGACGTGATTTCTCTTGGTCTGCGCAGCGATCTCTGTTAGATCACTGTCATTGAATGTAGCCTTGATTCGCGAGCACTGTGGCGTCTCTTCCCCGGAACAGAGCAGAATCCGGCACGAATCATAGCCAGCAGGATCCCAAGTTCACAGTGACTGAAACACGAGAGTGAAGGTGTTGAGCCCATGACTACAGGTTGAAGATGTTCGTTTTTTAGGTATCCGACCAACTGCAACAATAACTCCTGTAGATGTCCCATGGCGTGCCAGCCAAATCCTGTGGCGGCCGCATAGGACTCGGCGGATGGTATCCACTGAATTCTAGATCACACGGCCCACAAGTTATGCAATTGGCACAGTTCTCTGTTGCTTTAATGTGAGGTATTGTGAGCGACCCAAAGAATATTTTATGATTGTACGGTGGCCATTGTTGTACTTCCAGTATTTGGGCGTTCTTTTGAATGTACAGAGTTACAAAATGGCGACGAGAATCACGCTCCTCGCACGACGGTTGCCACAGGCACAGGAAGAAGTCTGACCAAGATGGAGTACCGGATGAGTGTCCCAATCAGATGACCTTCACTGCAAGCATACGGCGTTCGCACAGCTCGTATCTCCATATCTTAGATGTGGTGTGATTCCACCATACGCAACACCATGTGCATCGTTTCCATTTACATCACGTTAACACCATACACCAGCAACTACTTTATTAGCTTCCTCGCCTACGAACAGTGAATGGTGGACGTCAGCTGTGCCTTTTAAGACTCACGCGTACTGTTGAGACGTTCTAGCGGTGCGTGTGGCACCACAAAAGTGAAGCGAAGGGTGTTGTGAACGCTCGCTTTGTCTCTGTGTTCCGAGCGAGAGCATGGTGGTCGGCAATTCACACATGTCTCCTTGAATGCACGGCTCGCAACCACAGCAAAACGCCTCGCACTCCGCGGACTACGACATGACTGCCAAAGTGCCACACCGGCAAATCGCCACAGGCCCGTCCTTCGCCATCCACGGAACAAATGTGCGCAAAGTCCCGAGCTGCAAAAGCACTCAAACTTTTCCTAAAACAAGTCGAGGTGTTTTTTTTTCCTAAAACAACTGGAGCGCCAGACGCGAGGGGGATAGCCCGGCGACGGTCAAGGGTCCCCATCGAGACGCGCACCTGCGGCACCGTCGCGCTACCGTCGCCCTGCGTGACTCACCCCCCCCTCTCCCGCCGCCGGCGGTCCGCTATTTGGCCGATCCGCGCCCTCATCAAGCAGCGCCCAGCCCGCGCAGCCAACCCCCGGCCACCCCTCGGCGCCCCTGCCAGCAACATCCCCGCGGCGCCCACCGGTCAAGGCACGCCCCTCGGCGACTGCCCCGCGACGCGCGCGGCTCCCCGGCAGGCATGCTGCGCCCGGACGCCGGCAGCCGCCGGCGGCAGGGCTTCAAGAAGGGCGTGGACGCGGAGGAGGGGCGGCGGAGGCGGGAAAGCAACATCGTGGCGCTGAGGAAGAACAGGCGCGATGAGAACCTGCAGAAGAAGCGGATGGTCAACACCGACCAGCCGGCGGCGGCTAGCGAGCTGGCGGACTACGCGTACAGCCCCACGACTGGGCTCAGCCAGAAAGTGGTGGGTCTGCTTGCTCCCGGTGGGATGGGTGGCGTGTTGTTGGGTGTGGGCGCGCGTGGGGCTGAGTTGGTTTCTGTGGGGTTGTGATCGCAGCTGGATGAGCTGCCGGCCATGGTGGCAGGGGTGTGGAGCGACAATCCGCAGGAGCAATACGACGCCACCACCAAGTTCAGGAAGTTGCTGTCCCTGGGTGAGGCGGTGCTCCCGCGGATGGGGTTACGAGCGTTGTTTGGCAGTTGGGATGAAGTGTCCGCGCTGGAGAATGTTGCGCCTCCAGGCTGTGTCTGGAGAGCAGTGAGTGTGTCCGCGGCTGGGAAGCGCCTGCCCTTCATGGCGCCAATGTTGAGCAGCCGCTTGTTCCGATAACAGCGCGGCGCCCAGCGATGCACGCCGCTGGCTGGGCCGCCGCGGGGGTGCCGCGCCCCGCGGCGCTGAACTTGGCGAAGCCGGATCGCGAAGGGAAGGGGAGGGACGGTCGTGCCGGCAGAGCTGGACCCGTCCTTGCGGCTGCGCGGATTTCGCGGTTTTGATTGGGATGTTTTGGTGGATGCTCGACCGCGTGTCGGCCGGGATCCGCATGTTTGCAATTTTCAGCCATGGCCGGATTCTCAGCCCCCAGGGCGATGGACTCTCGTGCATGCGATTGCGGCCCGCGTTCCGTCACCCCTCCCGCGGGTTGGTGCCGTCCCCGCCACGCTCGCTGCTGACCCTTTGTGTGTTCCGCGCTTGTGCCCAGAGCGGAACCCGCCGATCGAGGAGGTGATCAAGCAGGGCGTCATCCCGCGCTTCGTCACGTTCCTGCGGTGCCAGGACTTCCCAAAGCTTCAGGTATGGGCTCGGCCGTGCCTGCTCCCCACGAGAGTCTGGACCGGCCCCCCCTTCCGTGAATGGGCGTTCTCCCCAGGTGTTGAAACCACCCTTGCTCATCGCTGCGAAACCATCGGTGGCCAGTGAATAGCTGATTGGCGATCGGGTTGCTCGGGCGGAATGGGAAGCTGGCCGCCACCAGCTTGGCTTGATATGTGGCGATCATTTGCTGATTGAAACCTCACCTGTGTTGTGGGCAGTTTGAGGCGGCCTGGGCTCTGACAAACGTGGCATCGGGCACATCCGAACACACCAAGGTGGTGATTGACAACAATGCAGTACCAATCTTTGTGGAACTCCTGAGCTCCAGCAACGATGACGTCAGAGAACAGGTGAAGTGGTGGAGCTGGGCTTCTTTGTCTCTGTTGGTTGCCATCTGCTGGTTTTCACGAGGTTGCTGTGGCTTGCTGGTCTACAAAACAGTTGAATAGCAATTTGACACTGGTCAGCGCTTTGTACAGCTCTGGCACATTGTCGACACACAAATCAGCGTTGTTGAGGTGTCAGTGCCCATCAGCGCCTTTGCAGTCTTGATTGAGCGGAAGTCGTGGTATCTGCCCGCCTCACCAGGCATGTTTGGGGAACGTCTTATCTTGAAATTGTGATCCAAGCAAAACTTACCCAGATCAAGTTCAGCTATGGAGGCTTACCAGTGTGGACCACATGTTGCTTGTGCCGCTTGCATCGAACAGGATTTTCCTCCGCCCGGTTATGGGCAAAAGCAGGCAGCGGTTGTGTGCTGCTTTCCTCTATTGGATTCTAGAATGTTACATCGCATTTGACTGTCCAGGTCCCCAGGTTGTGTGTAGTTGCTGTTATTGTTAGTTGGGCAGCAAGTATTCAAATATCAGGGAGACTCTGTCTCTGCAGCACGCTGGTATGTCAGATATTTCCACAGCCTGTTCACAGCGAATCCCCTCCCATGTATATAGCCAGGGAACCAAAGGTACTGAGCTTGTGTTTCTTGCATTCCACATGGCGCAGCTCAGGGTCACGTCATGTGACATATCAATGAAAGAAGCCAATGGGGAACACAGTACTGTGAAACACAAAACACAGTACTGTGTGTATGAGCACAAGTACAAAACACAGTACTGTGTGTATGAGCACATGTACAAAACACAGTACTGTGTGCTGACCTGGTGATGTGTTGAGTTCTTGTCGTGTATGACATTCTTTGTCTGAAGCAGTTGGCCTGTCACTTTGGACAGGCAGTATGGGCTCTTGGTAACATCGCAGGTGACTCGCCCAAGTGCCGAGACCTGGTCTTGCAGCACAATGCTCTGTGGCCACTGCTGGAGCAACTCAAGGAGACCTCAAAGCTCTCCATGCTTCGAAATGCTACCTGGACACTTTCAAACTTCTGTCGGGGGAAGCCTGCCCCTGACTTTGAGCTGGTAGGCTGGATGCGATTGGTCCATGTCTGGCACATTTGCCATCAGTGCGTTTGTCTCCCGAAGATCACCATTCACTGAACACCCACAAGGCGATGTGTAGCGCAATTGCTCAGTGCTGGTCAGGACATCTCTGCATCAGAGCGTTCCATGCGTTATCATTGCACATGCAGTGTGATTAGGGCAAGTTGCCCTCCTGAAAGCCCTCCAATCTCCGATGGGCAATAAGGGTACTGTTGGATTCAGGAAAAGCTGCCTGTTGTGTATGGGAACTGCCACCACACGTTGTTTTGCTCGCATTTGGATACCTGGGAACAAGTCGATCGTTGCTTTACCCCTTCCCAAGAAGAGTGTGTTGGGCCCTTATCCTGACTGGCGAAGCTATTGGAACCATCGACAAAACTAGGTTTAATGGAAGCGGCATGCATGGAAGCAAGAACGCTACACACTGGGGTGTCGATGTGCGTGCAGAGGAGCTTGCCACTGTGTGTCTATCCACATAGTGTGTGTTGAAGTGTAGTGCAAAACAAGGTTACCTTGACATTGGCACCCCTCTCCCAACAGCAATACAATAAGCACTTTCCTTCTTCACAGCACTATGAGAGCCACCAACAGCAAGTGCCTAACTCAAGCAAGCAACTTGCATGAAAGCAACACGCTAATATGTGTGTGTGTGTGTGTGTGTGTGTGTGTACAGACGCAACATGCACTTCCTGCACTTGCCCGGCACATTCACAGCACCGATGAGGAGGTTCTGACAGACGCTTGTTGGGCCCTGTCATACCTTTCCGATGGTGACAACAATAAGATTGAAAAGGTCATCCAGGCAGGGGTGTGCAGGAGGCTTGTGGAGTTGCTCATGTGAGTCCATTTCAAAATGATAGTGTGTAAACTGCCAGCGCCCTTATTGTCTGTGCTGTTGATTTGTTGTGTCAGCGAACGGTGGGATCATGCCGCCTTCTAACGTGATCTTCCGGGAGCAATCTGCAGAGGAGTCTGTCTTATTAGTATGAAGAAAAACTTGCTATGCACTGGGCATTCCACATCTCTTTTTTCAAGATTCTTTTGTATACTATACAAGACACCACAGATGTCTCCAAGTGCCACAGGAAGAACAAGTGGCACAGAAGTGGTCAAGACTGCATCCAGCTGCATCAAACCATAGTGTTATGTCTATGCATTTCCTCAGACTCGAAGAGTAAGTGAATGTTTGAATAGCAGCAGGTTAAAAATACCGCACTGGTAAAGGCACGTGTCGGCCTAATTCGGATATTTAGGTAGCATGTATTTGGGCTGACTACGAGGCCTCACAGTGCCTGAATAAAGAACCCCGAGCTCCCCCATAGAGAATCAAGGAAAGAAAGGCATCTCCACAATAGTGATCACACAGTTCTGATCTGCAGCTGCCACTTCCTTGCCCAGGCACCCGACGGCTGGCGTGCTTGTTCCTGCCCTTCGAACTGCAGGCAACATTGTCACAGGCGACGATGCCCAGACGCAGGTCATCATCAACTGCGGTGCCCTTTCCTGCCTGCTCAACCTCCTCACAACCAGTCACAAGAAGAGTATTAAGAAGGAGGCATGCTGGACCATCTCCAACATCACCGCTGGCACACAGGAGCAGATCCAGGCTGTGATTGATGCCAACATCATCCCGCCTCTCATCCACCTACTGGGCACTGCAGAGTTTGATATCAAGAAGGAGGCTGCTTGGGCAATCAGTAATGCGACGTCTGGCGGCGCCCCGGAACAGATCAAATTCCTGGTCAGCCAGGGCTGCATCAAGCCTCTCTGTGACCTGCTGACTGCAGCTGATGCCCGGATCGTCATGGTAGCCATGGAGGGCCTGGAGAACATCCTGAAGGTGGGCAGGGCTGTCTTGAGGGCATTTTGGATTCGTTAGTGTGGCTTGCCAAACCTCAGGGTGGGGTTGTGGGTATTCGACATGTTCTGCAGTGGCCCTTTATGTTCTTTTTGCTGGGTGTGTTGGTGGAGGAATGGGGGCTGCCTGTATTGACTGTCTTGATTCTTTCGGGTGCATCTTCTGAGAAGCCCAAAGGCCCAGATGACCAGAAAGGATGGTATGGTGTTGACCTCGGAGCAGCAACAGGATGAGCAGCGTCCCAGCCCACCCCCATGTTGCCACATTGTGGCTAGGTCGGTCACTCGTATGCCTGTGTTGTGAATCCATCAGCCAGAACATTGTGTGCCTGTGATTGCATGCCCGCTGCCTTTGCTTTGTGGTGCCCAATTCCTGACGTCAGCCCAATGGGAGCACATTGTCACACAGGGTCTCCTCAGTGGTAGCAAGAGACCCCAAATCTGTTTGATGGGTGGTCAGAGGGTGGGAAGCGCCCAAACCATCAAGCGCTATGCAAAACAGGCCAATAACAATCGTAGAGAGGTTTCAATGCAGGTGTCCACGGCAGTGCGCCAATGGCGATGGGTTTGCTGTGTTAGTCAGAGGGCTACATGCGCCCCCAGGCTTGTCAGTTGCGATTACACAATGATTGTTACGCACATTTTGTTGCATGGATTTTGAAACAACCGTTGCGTTGGGATGGTGCAGGTTGGTGAGGAGGAGAAGCCCATGCAAGGCGGCACCAACCCATTCACCAAGTTCATTGAGGATGCCGATGGGCTGGACAAGATCGAGCAGCTGCAGGAACACCAGAATGAGGACATCTATGACAAGACTGTGAGCCTGTTGGAGGCATACTTTGAGCTGGAGGATGGTGAGGTGGAGAACCTGGCACCAGGGCTTGACGTCAGCCAAGGCACTTACGCCTTTGGCAACGGCGCGGCCCCCGGGGCTCCACAGGGGGGCTTCCAGTTCGGCAACCCCATGTGATTTGGTGTCTTTTCGACCTTTGGAGAGGAGGGATGGGCTACTCGACGGCCGTGGCAACCCCCATGTGCGTCCTGCTGTGGCAAGTCCAGGAGGCCTTTGCCGATGGGCTGATGGCTGTGGCAGTGCAGGCGGTCACTGTCGTGTGATGTGCGTGCAGCGTCTCGTGTGTGAAATGTCTGGGTCGAGTCAGGACGCTGTCTGACGTGCGGTGTGTGTGCTTTGGGGTCGACCATGCTCCCCAGGCCCACTCGCCTAGTGTGTCATTGTGTAGATAGTTCTTTGTAACAGTCGACTCGTGTGTTTGTGTGTGCGTGCATGTGTGCCTTGGCTGGGAGGAAGTCAATGGCGTTGTGGTTTTATGGTAAGGGTGGCGATGTGGATCGATGGCCCTGGAGGATCTGTGCAAAGGGCTGTCGAAATTGGGGGTGGTGGGAGGTCAGGAGTAGGATTGTCTTGTCAAAAGGCAGTCACGTGGAGTGCCCTGTACCCAGGAGGTGCTCCTGTGTGTATTCGAAGGGTCGGCGATGGCAAAAGAAGCTAAAGAGACACTGAGGATAGCACAGACTGCCAATATGATTCTTTATTATTCTTTTGACCGGTCGGCACTGTGCTACCCAAAGCCACGTGGGCGTTGTGTGTTGCTCGGGACCACCTGCCGCCTTGAATGCACTCATAAATAGGCTAGAAAGCGGTGTCCTGCATGCTCTATGGTTTGAACGTGCTTGTGTATTCTTTGCAGAGTTGGCTTGTCACCAGTGTGGAATGGGTCAGGGCAGGGGCGTCTCAGGTCAGGTAGTTACAAACAATTTCTGTGTGATGCAGTTGGGCTATGTCTTGAAGTGGTTGCGCGGTGGACGTGCATCGTGCAGCTCACACAGGATCCACATTCTGCCCTTGCAGCGTGCAAGGCATTGCAGATGGTGGATGGAATTATGAATGGAATGAAAATCAGTGGGGGATTGTCAGGCCTCAGAATGTATAGACAGTTGCATACTGAGTTCCACTACGCGACCCTGTTGCAGTTAGGCGCATTGAGGTGCTCATTGAACTCAGGGCATCTTATGTCCATAACAGTGATTGAAGTGCACGTTGAACAGTGCTGTGCACTGTCGGATTACCAGAAGCCCTGGGCACTGCCACAGAGCATGTTGCTGTCAGTGTCCGGTGACAGACAGTGAGAGACAGCTGGTGGGCGCTGCTGTGTGCGACGAGGCAACAGATCGCTCTGTTCATGCAGCCGCTAAGTGGGGGGCGCAGGCATGCTGCGTGCATGCCCAAACCGGAGACATGCTGCTGGCGCATGTCCCAATTCGTGGGCTGAACGGGTGGGGGTTGAGGCGGACATTCGCTTGGCGCTTGCCTGCTGGAAGGGCGGGCACACCCAAGCATACAGTGTGTCGGCAATGGAATCCGCAGCTTTACAAAGGGGAAAGTCTGTTGCGTGGGATGCCCAATCGTTGCCAATTGCATGCCAGCTGGACTGGTCTTGCAACAAGTCCGGAAACACACAAGTTTTGGTAATTGTCCAGTGTGACAGTGATGTAAGATCCTGCAGTTTCAACCTTCGTCGTGTAGGGTGTTTGACCCGGCTTGGCCGGAGACAGCAGCATGTGCGTGCATCGCATGGCAGCCTGGCCCTTCAAATGCGTGCTTGATTTGTTCCGCCTTTTCCGTCGTGTCCACAGAAGGCACTGCAGCCATTGGGTTCAGCGTTGCGCAACTGGGCCCCAGTGGGTTTACTGGTCATTTGTAATGGACAAGGTATCCTGACAGTTGCCGTTGTTGCGCTTGTGTCCACCTTGTTATGTCCCCGGGCTTCTCCTAAATCTTGTGAAAGGTGGAAGAAAGTGGGCCCACTGCAGTTCATGCCCCGTCGTTCTGCCTTGTGGCAATCTTACTCCTGTGACACGTGACTTGTGACTAGTGATGGCCGACACCCTGCAGCCAGCCCCTAATGGCAATGGACGACTTGAGAAGGAGCATCCCCACCCCACCCCACCCCCCAAAAAAAACGAGCATCTTGGAGGGGCATTTATGTTGAAGCCATTGTCACAGCGGTGTCATTCTCCCTTGACTGCAGTAGTTTAATCGCATACCAGTGGCAACAGCACGAACAACAGGGACTCCCCCACATGGATATTGAACGCTGACGGAACATTCATGCTTTCTTGCCATCTCATTGTTTGGGACCCCGCATCGGCTCCTGCTGGAGAAGGATCCCGTTGTGCTTTATGATTTGCGGGGGGGAGCTCCTTGCTTAGATCAGCATGCAATACATTGCAATTCAAAAAAAAGCAACACAAACATTTGTCGGCAATGTGGCCACAAGCTGCCGTTGTGCCCCAAGGGTCGATGTGTTCGGCAACCACCAGCGTGCGCGTCCCCTGTTGCAGGCGCAAAGCAACGCGGGGAAGTCTTGACCAAAGACATTTGTCCGCCGCTCATCCCGAGCTGCGCATCGCCCTGCGCATGGCCAGTGCCCCAAGCCCGTTCGCCGCTGCAAGCGCCAGCAGCGCGACCTCCACCTCGCCGAGCACCACCACCGCGCAGCACGTCGCTACCAGGAAAAGCCTTGAGAAGATGGTGGCGGAGTAGAAGCCGGAGGCGCCCAGGCCCCTGCCGTCGCCGACGGCAGTGCCGATGTACTGCATGCCCACCAGTGCCAGGAAGCAGCCCCCCATGCGGATCCATCCCCTGGTGACGACCGCCGTGTTGAATGCCAAACCTGGGCCATGAAGAGCGCGGCCTGGCGCCCGTCAAGGAGGGACATCACAAGGGCACAGAAAAATGGGCCACTAGGCCCGTTGATGCAAGGCTTGCAAGATGGTTGACTGGGACAGAATATGTGCAGGTCTTCCCGCTTGGCGCACCAAGATGGTGTCTCTTTTAGGAGTCCAAAGAGTCTTGTCTCTTGGGTGTCGTTACTGATGAGGCCAAGTCCGCCAGGACTGCTTAACTACGCCTGACTTTGTCCTCCCAAATAACCGTGGCGTCCATCTGCATGCTCATACCGGAAACTACGACCGCATGTGGGTCGTGCATCGATGTCTGCAGAGTGCGATCCATCTGGGTATATTTATCTGGGTATATTTAAGGACCAAACGTGCCCGCAAGGGGGATGCATGGTGACAGTACCACATGCAGTGCCTAGGTTCGTCTCTCGATTCGATTCAGCAGAACGAACCCAAAAACATTCGCGACTTGCTTTGGTTTCCGATGTGATCCCAAAATAGTGGCGAGCTTCCTTTGCGATTCAGCATTCACTGGGATGCAAACACCTTTGGGGGCATAACATGCCCTTGCACTTTCTTGCTAGGTGGCCTCACGAGGTTCGCACGTTCTGTTTTAGGGCTAGCCTGGCACTGCAACGCGATGTGATAGTCTGGCAAAGATCCCCCAGAGTCATGGCTTGCTGGGTGGAGCAAATTGCTCACCAAATAGCTGGCTCGGGAACAGCATCAGCATCAAGCCCAGCAAAGTTGCATATCGTCCAGTCCACAATGCGGCCCTCATGGGTGCTGACGTTCTGGAACAGGCAGGAGTATCTGTCACACTCAGCGGCACAGGTGTTGGAGCCTGGTCGCGATCGCAATGAGCGCGGTGTGCCTGTGCCACTTCCCCGGCCTTGGGCCAGTGAGTTGAAGGGGAAACCAATGAGGCAAATTCTATGAGAGTACCACTGCCAAAGCTCCCTGCCCCAAGCCCCTGCTATGGCATCTTGTCACTGCAACGGCTGCCGGGAAACTGCTAGATGAGGCAAATTCTATGAGAGTACCACTGCCAAAGCTCCCTGCCCCAAGCCCCTGCTATGGCATCTTGTCACTGCAACGGCTGCCGGCGAACTGCTAGATGGCGGGTCGAGTCACAGGCCTGCTGCAAGAGAAGTTCCCTTGACACCCAAGAGCAGAACGCCTGCACGTATTCACTTAGTGCTGTAGTCAGTTTGCTGAAACTGAGACCTATTAGCGGTTAGTGCTTCCGCCCCCCGAAACCAATGGATCAAGAAGACAGCAGTGTTAACTTGGTGCACGTCCGCACAGTATGATGTCCTGCAAGCAGTCACCTGGTCGTACCTTGTCTCCTTGCCAATGACGTCCAGGCTTGGATTTGAGTTTGATGGTCCAACTTCAGTGGCGGCGAGTCTGACAACCTCAATACAGTTGCCGCTCCCGATGCAAGCCATGAGTGGGACCTGGGCACCAATCCACTCCTCACCTTGCAGCTTGTCAGTGGCTGCACATGAGCATAGCCACTGCTGTACCTAGCACACATTGCTTGGTGCCAATCCACACTTCTGAATCAGAAGCAGGAGGTCAAATGAGCATGGACTGCAGCCTGTAGCATTGGCTATTTGTCACGAGGATGTTTATCATGTATCTTTTCCCATGCAGCTGGGCACACCTCCTGATAGAGAGAAGAGCCTGATGCACTCGAATATTCATCACATGAATCCCACTGCTGATGAGGGGGTGCCCACAGTGAGACGATTACTGCTTCTGCAAGAATCGTTGCAGCTTCGTTGCATCGACGATGCAATGTCGACGCACAAGCCCTTTACCATGCATTCCAAATTCGCTCCAAGCCCCAATACAAATCTGCTACCGCTAGCACTAGTGCATACCATGGGAGATCAGCAGGATGACCACCACCTGTCAGCCTGTAAGCCATTCATCAACAGCTGTCGACTGGCAGCTGACTGAAGAAATCCGTTTGAGGCGAAGGCAATGAGCCAGAATGTTGTTCAATGGGCCCACCAGCGTCATCGACTCAGATGCACAAACAACACTTGAATATGGTGCGGGTCAATAAGGCTTTACACTCGGCAAGCCTAACAACATAAGGCTTCCATGGACTGCTGGTCGAGGCATCGTAGTCTGTGGGAAATGGCAAAACGGCTTTGGAGCCTGCTGCACTGCCACTCCCTATGTTCCCACCTGACTGCAGATGGTATCAGCTGAGCTGTGTCCACCAATGCTCATGGTGCACGACTGTGCACTGAGGGCTCTTATGGCAGCATCAGCTCTGCCGCATCCAGCATGAATGCATCCAGCCAACCTGTTCCAAACTGCGTGCAGCGGAAGTGAGGCATTCGATTGGAAGCCAAGCTGCAGCTTTTGCTTAATGTTGGTACCACCAAGTGTTTCACAGCATCAACAAAGCATGTTGTTGCACATATGGTTCTGATCTACAGCCATTATTGAACTAAGCATGGTGGTTGACTTCTTGCCTGTGAGGCATAGGGGCAAAGTCCTTTCAAGAGACATTGTTATTTAATGCAGTAAGATAGGCCTGAGAGCCAAGCAAATGGAGCATTAAGCAGACAATCTGGACCATTGGCGATCCCTTGATGCAATGCGTGCTTGTGTTGGGCAATACAAGCATGTGTGGCCCAGCAACAAAGTGCTGTATTGTGGCACCCTTGCCATGATGTATAGGCCAACAGTGCACGGCAAGGTAATCGATCTCCAGCCTGCTCATACAGGATTCATACGTTCTCATGATTTCCGATCTAGCCACATTCTTGTGCAATCCCTGGTGCGCTCAGAGCCTTTTACTGGGCATCCTATGGAGTGGAACAGAGCAGCGGAATTCCTGACGCTGGATATGTACAACCACTCCAGAGCAAGCAAATTGGATTAAACTGTGCGCCAATGCCATGATGGCACATGGCAATCACGTTGCCCTTTAACTGGCAGGTGCTTCAAAGGGACCGGGAGCATGGACACAACGGCACAAATCTGTTACCGGGCCACTCCGTGACGCAATTCTCCACTTTCTGTGAGAGCAGTTGGCGCCCACCTGCCCCAAACGACGACGTCCCCTCCCGCCCGCACGGTGCAGCCCTTCTCCACATCCCCCAGGACCACCACATCGCCGATGTGTTCAACCTGCGTCCCTGGTTCCGTCAAGGCGCTCGTCACCCACAGCGCTCCATCATTGGAACTGGGCCCCACGTTCCCGGCCGCCCTCAGGACGCCAGGGACGATGCATAGGGGAGCGCCACGCCAAACACTGATGCTCGAGCGACGCATTGCCACGGATGGCCGCGTTGTCACCGCAAGGCGCCGTGCACGTTCGCAGACTGTGGCGCTTGGACCGGGAATGGCGAATTGGGATTGGCCTTGGAATCGGGCGGGACTCCGCTGGCAGTGGGAAGGCACCATTGGGGTTGCTGAACCATTGCCCGAGAGCAAGAAAGGGCGCGCCTGCGGTTTTGTGCCCGAGGCAGGGATGGGGCGTGGGCGCCAACAGGACCAGCGCCCAGCAGGTGATTCGCGATGACTTTTTTGTCGTGTACGCTGACCCGGTTGGAGGGGCTCATTGCTTCATCATGCAACCCCGAGTGCTGGAAAATGTGGCACAGTTTTGCGTTGCTCATTCGGGCGGCTCGAACATTCAATTTGAACACTGAGCACTGTACAATATTAAACCCTTCCGCATTACAAGGTAACGCTTGGTCCTTTTCTGCGGAGAAAATGTTATAAATAGTAACGCAAATCTTGGCCTTCCTGTGCTGGGCAACGTAAAAAGTATGCAAGTAACTCTCTGAAAAGCAAAATGCGGAGCAAAAGCCGTAACGGTGAAATTTTCTGATGCGGAAGGGTTGAATATTTACAGTACCCAGTACCCATCAGTACCAAGCCTGATGATGACATCCAGGCCCTTCCAGATCCATTACTAATGTTTGTAATGGAATCGCAAGAATCGACGTAATGAATGTCGACCCACGTGACGGTTCCATCCCAATGGGCCGCATGGCCGATACTCGCACTGTGCACAGCAATGCCTTGGCGAATTTCAAAATGTGCCTCACCTCCCTGCCAGATACTCTCCAGACCCCCTGCGCTGGCGCCCTGCAACCCGAGCAGGCGTCGGGTCGCTGGCACCGACGAGCCGCCGCCCGCCTTCGGCCCCACGCCTTGGGGGCCGGCCCGCCGATGTCCTCGGCCTCGGGGGCACAGCGTCAAGGCCCGCGCGCCCCGATCCGCGAAATGCCCCGTGGCCAAAATGGCATCGCCGGAAAAGGGGCTGGCGGCAAAGAGGCTCGCCAGGCTGGCGGGGATCCGGCAATCGGCAGGAGGCCCCTGAGGGATGCGAATGTTGGAGATGCGGGGCCACGGGGGCCGCAGAGGGCTGCCGCGCGAAAGCGGAAGGATCCGGACGGTGCGGGTTTGGCCCGGGAGGTGGAGGGGAGGGCGGCAGCGCCGATGGAATACGCTGGGAGCCCTGGACCCGCGGGCCTTGGTTATGCAACGCGTGGTGGAATCGAGGAGAGGGGACGCGCCCTGATCGCGCATTTTCCGCCATTGCGTTTCATCTTGCGTCTTCGTCGACCTGCACTGAAGGCCTGAGTTGATCTCGCCTTGCCTGCTGCTCGGTGCTGTGCGCGTTCTCGCGCTGCCCTCGAACAACTCTTCATCGACTGTGACAGCGTGAATCAGAGGCTTGCCATCGGCTTGCAGAGGCAGAAGCTGCCCATTGCACGCCAAGTTCCTTTCTTTTGGTGATGAATCTTTAACGTCCTGCATCTGCCTGATATTGTCCCAATACTGTAGTCGATGCCCTGGCGCTGGGCCCACGTGCGAAATCCCTGGTGCCGTTTGCGCAGGCCTGAGGCCCGCACAGGCGAAGCGCGTGCGCATGCCGGCGCTCGCAGCAGGACGCGCACGGCGGGTCGAGCGCCACGCGCGGGTGGGGTGGAAGCTGGATGATTTTCACATCAGCAGGCCGCTGGGAAGCGGCGCGGGAACGTTTACCTTGCGAAGGAAAAGGAGTGGCGCGATAGTAGCCCTGAAGGTGCGGTGCGCCATCGACGGGCCTCAGGGTCTTGGGGGCATGGGATTTCATGGAGGAGCTAGGTTCCTTGCAGGTGCTGACGGGCATGTACACAACCAGCACGGTCGTTTGCCCCGTCGGTTCAGTCGTTTCCTTTGCTGTGCTCGCAACCCGTAGGCAAAATGGACGAACTGTGGTCGAGTGAGCACATGCGCCGTGGGTGCCTTGCTGAATGTCCTTGGCGCCCCTTGGGCACCCTAGAAGCCCCTCCAGGCCGAAAATTGAACTCTGGAAAAGAGATTGACTGCGAAGCTTGTTTGGGGGATCTGATGCTTCCCTCCCAAATTTTGTGTCTGTACTGCGGGTTGCTTGATGAAAACTGTGCGAGCTATTAGCGCAGCACTGCAGACTTGTCCTTCAAAATATGCAAGGACTTAAGCTACTGCAGCAGCTTGCTACGTTCAGCAGCCGTCTTGCAGCGCTGATTGGGTGCCCCTTTCCCTGCCTGCCTGTGCCCATGTGCTTGCTTCGCTACTTTCTGTGCTCAGTGCGAACAACATCGCCTGGTAGGTGAAAGGTGAGCGATCTTCCACTTTGTGAATTCGAGTCCTGCCTGAGCAATTGCTGAGAATTCAGTTCCTCTGCTCGCCACGATGCAACTCCCTAAAAGCAGTTGACTTGAGTGGTGGAGAATCTCTGTTTCAGGTCATCTTCAAATCCCAGATGGAGGGGGAAAGGAACAGGCAACAAATGCGTCGAGAAGTGGAGATCCAGTCCCGACTTAGCCATCCCAACATTCTTCGCATGCATGGCTATTTTTACGACCAGGTATAGGGGAATCCATAGGACGGAGGACATGGCAGGCCTGCAGTATGGATGCACAGCATCTGCCAGTTTGCATGGAAAGATGTGCCTATGCATGTGTTCATATATTTGTGGACCCATGAAAATACAACTGGTTTTTGTTGTTGGTTGTTTGCTTGGCACACCAGGCAGACTTGTGCAGTATGCTTTACCCTGGATCCACATTTCAGATTGTGAAGGAAGGTGTTGAGATTCTGTTAACGATTTTGTGCACATTGTTGCCTCCTTATTTTGCGCTGTCATTGCTCTGGCTTTAAACCGAGAATCTTGTTCATTTGAGCTCCTGCTGTCCAGAAACCCCTTCAAGATCGGATATTCTATCCCCAATAATGAAGTTACTGGATCTAGGCACATTTGCCTGGCATTGCCTTAAGACGGGCCCCCTTCGTTTTGAAGGTTGACGAAGAAGTGAAGTGCTTGCTGAATAAGGTTTTCATCAAAGAACTTGAAGGCACCTTCTTTTAAATCATGTTGTGCATGGAGCTCATGTTCCGGATGTTGCTGTTTGGAACCATATGCGTGACTTCACTTTGTGGTTGCAAGTGCAAGTGCAAGTGTTTTATCGATCTTTGACAAAGGCAGTCAAAAGATTCACCCATTCTCTAATGTTTTTTGCAGCAACGGCTGTATCTTGTGCTTGAATATGCAAAAGGGGAGTTGTTCCAAGAGCTGCAGCGGCGGAAGTCCTTTTCTGAGAGAACAACAGCCAAGTACGAGCACATGCCTCCATTGGAAATGAGTCAACTGGATTGGCGAGTCTTCAACAGCCTGACAAGTCTGAGTAGCAGGAACAGTCCTTCCAGTTATCAGAGCACTGTTTTTTAACTCCACACCTCAAGTAACATCACATGGTGCACTTGTGCAATCCATGGAGTGCATTTGCATACTTTGGGTCAAGGGGGCTGAGCACCAGTGCACTTGTACATGAGATGTGATACACCAGTGATGCATCCTGGTGTCCAAAGCGTGGTACGCCTCCTAGGCTTTTGTTCTATTTGTGTCATGGCTGAATTGGCTCACATGGAGGCTGCATGTTTTCTTGATCTGATGGGGCTTGGGGACTAGGGGTGTTATTTTGACAATTATTTTGAGGTCACCATAGCTGCTGGCAGACCAATGCTGAGGAATGTTCCATGACCAGTCATTTCTCACACTATATTTAGGGATGCGTTCACTCGGCCAAGTGTGCCACCACCGTAGTGCTTTGCCGATTTCACCAGAAGCGTGTTGTGCCAATGCTGTGCTGGTACTGGATGGGTGTTAATCGTTCAAGCTGTCACTCACAGGTGCTGCTTTGAAGTCCTTGTCCTGTGTCACGCAACCCAAGTGCACGCAAAACATGTGTGCAAAGTATTCTTGAGGTTTATATGGAACAAACAGCATGCATGCATTTGTGACACCCCACATCGCTGTGCAGTTGTGGAATTCAGTGAGTACTGCAGAGTGTGTGCCGACACCTGTTGTGTGTTCCCAAGCTTTGTGGTTATCCTCAACCCTGAGACCCAAGATGTCCTCCACCCTTTTGGATTACAAATTCATCAAAACTGGTAAAAAGGGTGCAGATGCAAGCCAAGTGTTTGACTGATGTGCCCTAACAGTATGCTTGTCCCCCAGGTACATAGCCTCCCTGGTCCATGCGCTGCAGTACCTGAAGGCGCAGGGCATCATACACAGGGACATCAAGCCTGAGAACCTCTTGCTTGGGTTGGATGAAACCCTAAAACTTGCGGATTTCGGGTGGTCAGTGCATGTCCCTGTGAACGCACGACGCATGACCCTTTGTGGCACGTTGGACTACCTGGCACCGGAGATGGTGGGAGGCAGGGCGTACAACGGCTCTGTTGACGTGTGGAGCCTAGGTGTGCTGATGTATGAGTTCCTGTTTGGCAAACCGCCTTTCGAGTCGGTTGATCACAGGGCCACCTACAGGAGGATAAAGGGCGTGGATGTGAGGTGGCCCCAGCACCCATCTGTCAGCAGTCAAGCCAGGGACCTTATCCAGAAGGTGGGCAGCCAATGTGTGGCAGAATCGCACATTATTAAAACAAGAATTGGGACAAAGTGGGAAAACTGGGAAAATGGAAAACACGGGAAAAATGGGAAATGGAAATTGGCAGGTGCACACACACTTTGAATACATCTGTCGTAGTGGGACAGAGGAACGCCCTTGCACCTTTCTGGCAATCAGCCAGCATTTTGCTCCTGTGCAGATACGGCGTTCCACCTGCCAGCGAACAGCTGTGGCGGTTTGAGGTGTGTTTCTGGCACAGGGCTCTGTCACTGCAAGCAGCTGCTACCTGCAGTGCCAGTGCACAGAAACATCTCAAAGCAGGTCTCGATCCGAGATTTCTGACACCCGGATTATTGGACCTGGAAGTTGGCCCCTGAGCTTGGTTGTCTTGCTGCACAAGCATTGCATGTTTGTGATACAGTCAGTGCTTGCCTTCCTTATAATTGGTACTTTGTTCATAATGAAGGTCGTCATTGGCTGCTTTTGGCAAGAACCGGCAAGAGATGTCCATTGACTGGCCACAATGCGATGGGGCCCACATATTGTGAGCAGTGCAAGCTTGCAGCAGATCGAATTCTTGTGACTCTGTTTGACCTACATTTGAAGTAATGGTATTCTTGTGGTGGATGTGTCAGTGAGCTATATTGAATATCAATTTTGGCAGTGTTGCCGACAGAGACACCGCTGGCATCCTCACGCACTGAGCGAAAGCTGGGCGACGTCGCAATCTGTTCCATTGGTACAATGCCACAGAGTTTTGGCTCAAAATGCAGCGTCCATTGTCGCACACGTTTGCGCAGGGCACAGCAATCCCTTGAGTCAATCACGTGAAGTCAGTGATTCATGGGTGGCTGTTAAGATTTTCAAGTGGCTGGTAGTGAGTCACTGACGACCTTGGTTCTGCCTGTTGCGGTGTGTGGCCACTACGTCGTCAACTTTTTGGTGGTCAGGAATTGCTTCGTCTGTATGGCAAACATAGTCCCCAAATCTTACAGGTGTGTGCATGGTGCTCTGCAGCTGCTGACTGCTGACCCAGAGAAGCGGCTGCCACTGGAAGAGGTGATGACTCATCCCTGGATTCAGGCAAACGCCAGCGCTTCCGCCCTCGATGCAGCTCAATGATGGCTTGCGATAATGCAAGGTTTGCAGTCTGGACGCCGATTCGACTGGCATCAAAATCTCCATTGCCTTATTTCTTATTCTTTGGATTGAGCCTATGGTGCCAGGAACTTGGGGGTAATTCTTTTCAGCAGGGCGCGAAAATCTTCATCGAGTACCAATCCTCATCACTCGACGCCACGCTGCCCATGCAACTATTAGATGATGTTGGTAGAGTTTGGAGCAGGACGATGTTTGTCGCTGTGTGCACATCACAGCACACATCTGACTAGACTGCGTTTGCCCCAACTGGCAATGGTGTGCTGTAACTATACTGCTGTTGATTTGCAGGTCCATTGAAAGTAGTTTTGCAGACAAGTTGGGCTGCATCGCCAAGTTTAAATTGTTGGTCTTGGTCCATATTTGTACCCACACTCGGTGCTTGGAACTTGAAGAGAGAATGGAACTTGAGCACGTTGGCCTCCCAGAGGCAGTGGCGTCAAAGAATGCAACAATGTTAGGTATGCTATAGATGTTGTGAATCGGGCAGGCCATAGATCTATCTCGGTACTCACATGTTGCCGCTACAAATAAACACGCTCCAGCAAACACGAGTTGCTGCACTTGGTGGGGGTCACTCCTGGCAGTAAAACCTGCCTTTATGAGGAAACCCAATACCTGAACGAAACTGTGAATGCATTTGCTGGACGGGCCAGGCTTCCTGTGGCAAATATTCAAATTCTGTGGTTTGGGATTGGATAATGTATCATGCAGAGATCTCCTGTGACGGTAAATATCATGTTTAGAATAGTGAGGTGTGCTAAATCTCCAATGTGCCAGGAATCCGGCCAGGCACAAGGACGCCCACAACCAACGCTTGCTATAGCCATCCATGCCATTGCTTCTGGAGTCAATTCGTCACTCTGGTGCTCTCTGCTCCCCAGCCAGCGAAGAAATTGCCCCCTTTGTCTTTAGGAATATTTCCCTATCGCTCGTCCAAAACCACACCCCAAATTTTCCCCAAAAGAATATTTGGCGCCCGCAATCTGCACAGATGAGGGTGAGCTTTGGTGCCACATTTGTGCAGCACAGCCAACTATCGTCATAACTTTCCCTTCAAGAAGGTGGCAAAGCGTGCAAGTCCTGCAAACACTTTGTGGGCCTGGTCCGGTGGACGCAAAGACCTGCAGGAGCAAACCAGATGCTGAAAGCACAATTCAAGCACCTGTATTTCCAAAACTTAGCATCCAACTCAGCCGATGGCCCAATAACAAGCCCAAGCACAAAAAAAAACCTGGCATAGTCATGAGTCCCAACCCACAGTGCAACAAATAGATTCTCCACCACCCTGAGAAAGTAAAACTCTCTGGCTCTGGCTCACGTTGCCAAAGCCCACTAATTCGCATGCAGACACAACAGTAGCACTGCTCATCATGCAACATGGGCTCGTGCAGAAAATGCAACCTACCTCAATATCGGAAGAGGACCTTGCAAAGCCTTAAATCTCGGCCCTGGCGGCTGGGGGGGAGTCAGTCTCTGGTCTTTTGCCTTCTCCAAATTCTGCTTGCCACGCCCCGAAGCCTTCCGGGAATGGGACTGGCCTGATTTTGAAGCTCCATCTAAACGGCGATAAATGAAATCACTGCCAAACTTGGCGAGATGCCGCTCCTTCGCTGGATAGTCAGACAAAGGGACGTCCCCCACTGCTTTCTCTATTCTGTGGATCGCAAAGGGCGCATATGGGTGGGCATTCTCGAGATGCTGCTGGCGGTGGGCCGCATTCAAACTGGACAGCACAAACACAAGAGAGCGGAATTCACTGACAGCCAATCACTATTCCAAGCATCTGACGAGGGCTTCATAAGTGCATATGTGGAAGCGCGATATGAGTTTCCAGAAGGCTGACACAAACCGGCTGCCCTCAGCAATGGTTGGGAAGTTGCAAATGTGTGATACACTGTTGGGTGGGTTGCTCGCACCGTGCGCCTTGGATCTCCTGTTCTCATATGCTGTGACAGTAGCATGATGGCAGCAGGGAATGCATCACTGTTCATCGCTGTTGCTATGGCAGGATGTGCCATGTACACATGTTTTCCCCAGTGGCATTTTGGAGGGTTGCCATGCTATCGTGCACTGAGAAACCTTCACCATTTTCCCACAGTTTCTGTAAATTACAGGAGTGCTACACTGCTGAGAAACCGGAAGCGATATTGTGAACAGTAACAACATAAGCCACGCTGCATAGTGCAAATTCGTACAATAAAAATAATGTACAACAACATGTAACTGTGTTTGTGCTACCAACATTCATCAGTGTCGCTCATTCCAACGAGTCGCAGATGGGTTCTCCCAACATTATCAAAGAGGTGCAATGGCAGCAACTGCCCGATTTGCCAGATGCAATCAGTGCGGATGAGCACACACTCCAACGTTCAGAACATAAAGACCTATTGGGTGGACAAGGACACTCCCTGCCCATGAAAGCACCCAGCCCTGTCAGTACGTTATCCGCTTCTTGAGAGCTTCGATCTTAGTGGACATCAGTGCTGTTTCCTTTTGAAGTACTGGGTCCGTCTCGTTCGATTTTGACAGCCACAAGAGCTTCTCTTGCAACAGCAGCCTGTGGCGTGACATTTGGGCCAGCGCCACTTGATGTGCAGCCACCTCTGATGACAGGCGATCGCACTCCTGTGTCACCAACAGGCACACAAAGAAATCTGCTGTGAGTTGTTATTTCTATCTTGGATGCAGCAATACCTCATCAGGCATGAGCATCCAGGTGCCACCCCTGTCCAGACAGAAGTGATGCAGGTGTTTTGGCAATGCTCGTGCAACAGTTTGCTCTCACATTTCATGAGATTACACAGACATCAACATTAGCAAGCCTTGTTCCTCCGTCCAATCGCAATGGATTCTGAACATGTCTGCAACACTGTGAGCGAAGCCACATTAGAGCTGAATACATGACTTCTCCCACATCAATTTTTAGGCAATGCACTGCAGCAATAAGACAAATTGCAACACAACGCAGAGCGCGGCAGTTGTTGCTGAGAGAACAGAATGGCAATCCATTGGGTGTCAATCCCAAAAACATCGTTTGGGTATGTTGCATGCCATGCCATAGAAGCTGACTGAACAGTCTCCACGTGCAATCGGACAATCACCACACAACTTCCAGCACTGCCCCATAACCATCCAGTACAATACAGTGCCAGACTGTTATAGTGCAGTACAGTATACAATGCCGTACAGCACTACACACTGCTGCTCCAACTGTAGTTCCATGCATACCTTGCAGTCAGTGTACATGTCGTATATAGATGAGTCCGTATTCATGAGGTGCCTGAGGGCCATGGGCGCTACGCTCTGCCCTTGCTTTGGCAGCAACGCCATTGCGCAAACTACGGGCTTCATGGCTGAGCTGGATGAGTCATTTTTCCGTTGTCCTTGCTGTGCTTGTCCTTTCAGTGCACGGCCTTGCTGTCCTTTTGGTACAGCAGAAGCCATTGCCTTTTCTTGTAGCCTGTGGCAGAGCAAGCTGCACTGTGTTATGCAATAAACAGCTCAAAACAGGTGCGTCTGTAGCGGGGGAAGAGGGAAACACCAATCAATGTCCATTCAGAGTGACTTTTGCACACTTAAACGTCACAAAAACACAGAACAAAGAAAGAAGGACAAAACCTCAGTGAGGACACTGATGTGGACCTTTGGCTTTGAAGCTTCCAAATGTTTACAATCATCACAGTGCCAAACATGCAACGACTACACGTATCCCAATGTCAACGTGTCAAATCATTGCCCTTCCACATGGAAGGGTATTTTCCTTCTTTCTCCCTCTACCCTCAAAACAGCAGAAGCCAGTTGAAGAAGACTGCAGTGTGGCAAACTGCTTGGTTCATGCATCCAACATCAGAACACCCAGACACAGCTCCTCAAAAACACAAGGCAAGACCTTAACAACATCAATTCTCTTGCATGAATTCAACAACATCAATTCTCTTGTATGATTGGATTGAATCACAGTACCGAGTTGTGCAGAACAAAGAGAATACGCAACAATCGCAATGGGGGCAATGCCCCATGCATAAATATCTTACCTCTTCTTGTGAGCAGGCGGGGCAAGTTTGAACTTTCTGAGGACCTGGCAAAGCTCATCCGAGGTCGGACCAAGTCCATCGTAGCAGAAGCGATAGTCGGGACAAACACCTCCCTGGTACATGTCCAGTATCCAAGACAGGCCCTGCACGTTGCCACAGCAGTGCCTGATGATCATTTTGTGCAAAACAGGCCAGACGATGGGCTATCCCCCTTGTGATCACGAATTGTGCACTGCACTTGCCTTTCAGACTGTGAGATGCAGAAAAGCTTTGCAACATACAATAGAAGCCTGACAAAAGGATCAGTAAAGTAGAGACCACACAAAGAGAAATGTGTAAGTATGTGAGCAACAAGCCATTGCAATGGTACACAAGATCTAGATGAAAAAAACTGTACTTCCTCCATCTCAAAAATCGTCTCCGATCTCCAATTCTTGCCAGAACTTTGCAAGATCAACTCGATCAGTCAACCTGCCCCCATATTTGGATTCCTTGGTTGATTTCAGGTTGATGTGAATCCTGATTCTGTTAGTCATCACCATACAACCTGAAACTCACAGCTTTAGCAAAAATGCGCCTGTCCAGTTCCATGCAGGCTCTCAGTTCCCTGCATTATTGCAATTTAGGGCATACATTCAACCATCATTACCACGACCCCGATTGGCAGAAATCTGGCCCTGACCAGCTAGGATGTTCCTACTTCCTGTACCCCAAACTTGCCCACACCCACCAAAATGCTAAGAATGTTAACTGCCCTGCATAGGCACCAGGAATTGAGGAATTAGTGAGGAAAACCGTGTGTGGCGAGGAAGACAAATGGCCCCCAAGCACCCCATGCCTCCAGGCACCAGGCAAACAGAGAATGGAATCAGCAGTGACAAGCATGGTCAGGCAAGCACATGTACCTCATGGTAGAGCTATAATGAAAGGCCATGCACCCCATCCATTGCCAAGCCAAACGTTCCCTTGCCCTGCAATGGCAATAACAAGTACACCTCTGCAACAAAACCAAAGCACAGCAGTGACAGGGCTTATGCCACTGAAAACATCTTTCTACAGATATTTCTTTGGATATTTTTCTTGCGTACATGGGCCCCACCTGCAAGTACTGCTCTGGATCTGCTGCTTTGATGTTGACGGTCACAGGTTGTGCTCTTTGTGGAATTGATGCTTTGTCCAGAAGGTCCGCCACAAATTCCGCATCCAGCACGGTGAAGCCATCTGCGCCCCGATTGGCCAAAGCCCGTTTCTGGTACGTTGGCAACTTCCTCATTCTCAAGTATGTCGCCCACAGGCCGTCATGATCTGAACATGGCGCAAACAATGCTCATGGGATATTGTGAATCTTCTTGGTTGGTGAGCATGTAAAGTGCCAAATTGGTCAGGTTCGTGCACAATTTTGTTGCTGGTACGCCAGTCAATGTGACAACGCAGGGTTGCTACTGAATCAGCGACTTGATGCAGAATGCGGGGCACACAGGGGATAGCGTGGGCGCACGCAAGATAACACTCCCCACATTCCTGACGTCAGCCCTGATGCTCAACCGGGGGGGGAAGGGGGGGCGGGGGTTGTCCTCCACGATCTACGGTACTCAGGGTAAGATCTGTTACAAAAGAGAGAGAAACAGGCCATACAAAGGGCACCCCCTCCTAGGCAAGTGTATGTGAGGTTCTGTTCCATGCTATGAAAAGATAATATAGAACCTCCGAAGCAAAGATAAGCAGGCAACACAAGCAAGGCATAGGCAAGAAGAACATGCACTCGGGGGGTCCGTATGAAAGGTAGAGAATGTGCAGAATGTCAAGTGTAATGTAAGGCCTCCAAGGACCTGCCCATACACCCAAGACCCAGCCACCCGATATTCAATACCCAACAATGTCCCAAAGAAAAGCTCCCGGCAACCCCGGACGAACGTATACATCCCGTTACAAGTCCAACATACATACGCAGGGTGGAATGCACCAGATGTCTTTGTTGTGGGCAGGGGGGTGATGATATGAAATGGATAGCACAGTCAGGAAGAGTTCGTCACAACACAAGAGATGCATAACATGCAATTCAGTTCTGCCACACTCCATGCAATGATCACACAGTGAGCACTGCAAGCAGATTGCCAGTCAGGCATTTCAATCGTGGCCAGTGTGACTATTGCACGCTCTCTCACAGCTACTGCCATTTGGAGGATAGGGCACCAGGAACAGGCGGGTTGGCCAGTTGGCACACATGTTTGCTACATGCCAACACTTGCCTCCAGCAACCCAGACCAGCATTCTCCTTTCACCACCCATGGGTGAAGAATTCGCATCTCTGCTCAAACGCACCTGAGTGCTTGCTTCTGGGTGAATGCGGGCGAGCAGACCCCTATCTATTGGTATATGTGCTGCCGTTTCTTACCGCTTTCCAACCACACTTGGTGAATTCAGCATCACCATTGGATTGGAAAGAGTCCAACAAACTTCTTGCCCAAGAGGAGAGTGCCTTTTGTACACCATGTTTCCCCTTATGGCTGCTAGTACTTCTGCCAACTGTTGGTGGAAAAACAAGGAACCCGGAGAAGTTATACCCTCAGACAGTGGGTCAGATGGTTGGGAAGGGAATCGCGGTTTGAAAGGCCCTTGTGTCACACCTCCAAAAGAATCAAAACGCTTCATTGCCACCCCTGGCACCGCAGGGAGGTAGTCATTGCCTCTTCCCAAGATGCACGTCAACGCCAGGTCCTGTTTCAGCCCTCGAAGCCGCCGTAGTTTCTCCTACCCAGAGCCACAAGGAGGCATCAAGCAACAGTCCCTGAGTTCATCAATGCTATTTTGGAGCATACTACAGGAAATCTATACCCCTTCTGCAGATGGAATGAAGTACGTTATGTTGTGCACTGAAGTACATATAATTTGTCATGCAGCAGAAATGCAGTGCAACAGTTGGGTTTGAGCTGGACCAAATGCTGGTCTCTGGTAGGGAATAAAATTCGATGCTGGGCTCTTGTTGAGGATTTACCAGCACAGGTAGGTGACTCAAACATGTAAAGTATCCAACATCGCGCAATGTGACTTACAACGTTCGCCAGGTAGGCCCGGTGTGCTGAATTTTCCTTTCTTAAGATTGTGCAATCATTTCTTTAACGCAACTGATCTTCTTGTGTTCAAATCGCAGCGAGCTCTCTGGTGATGTGGCATTAGGCCCACAACTTTCTTGCAGAATGCAGGCAACGCCATGGACTGTTGAATGAAAACCAGGTTTCAGGAATAGCGAAACAGGTAACCAATCAGGCCCTGTGCACCTTTACTGACCTTTGCATCTTCCACAGGAGGAGGGCCGATGCGCTGCCACAACTTGTGCAGCGCGTCCACTGACAGGATTTTCATCTTATCAAGTGGCGGGGGATCTACTTCGAGGATCTGCCCACAGACGTGTAGGTGGGGTGTGTCCGTCAGAAGAGCCATGAGGATGAGGTCTGAGTCATTGCCAACAACAGCTGCAACGCAAAGCGCAGTCACAAAAGATAAACAACTTTGAAACCAGCCAATGCGAAATCTGAACCATCAAAGATGGTCAAATTTGAATTGAATGTTGTGAAATGCAATGAGCAACAATTCCATCCTTGGAGTTGGCTGCAGGGCAACCACATGCTCAGTTCCATTGACAGGGTGGAGAGTAATTTCGATCTGTCCAGAACAAACTGGATGCAAAATGGACATTGCAAGTCCCCATGCACAGCAAGCAAACTGTGCATTGTCAAATCTTCTACAGAATCTTGGCAGGCGATGCACACTGCATTTTACAGTGATGGTTGGACAGAGAAAGCAAGGTGCTGTGAAAATGACGATCCCCTCACAAGCAACACTGTGGAGTTGATGCGACAACCTCCCAGCGGACTCAATATCAGTGCAATCTGGGGTATGCAGTGCACCAAATACCAAATGAACTATGAATTCGGCACAAAGAACACGCCGCTACCTGAACGGCCTCTCAGCGCAGCATGACAATGACACAGAAGTGTCCAGCAAAACATGCTTAATCAGATGCCAGCAAAAGCAAACAACCCATTGTGCAACATCTTGCAGAGACTGCTGATTCTACACAAATCAATCATGCAGCAGATGTCAAGATTCTAACCATTAAGCATACCATGTGCATCATCTTGCCCTACGTGCTCCAAGGGTCTGTGTAAACGAGATAATATCTTCATTTCACCTTCACCCTGAGTGAATGTAACCACAAAGCAAACGTTCTCAGCCCAACTCCACACACTTTGGCGCATCAAGACAACACATATAAATTGTGCACGGGTGACTTGTGCAAAGAACACCCCACCAGCAAGCAACATGCCATCAACACCTGCAAGCCTGCGTGTGGAATGCTGGTGATATTCATTTCACCTGTTTTGACCCATAGCTGACAGAACAGGCCTGGCCACTGTCTCAGCAACGGATTGCAACTATGCCATCCACAGGTTCATCGCACACAGTCCAAGTAACTTCAAACTAAGCGAACCCGAATACTGCAGAGGAAACAAAAACGAAGGCAATTTTGCCAAGAAGGGCAAAATGATGCAACAAACATCCATTTGCCATCTGGATCACACTCTCCATGTTCTGCTCGATCCAAAATAACAGAGCACACGTGGGATTTCACCCTGGCAACAGCAAGGTGGGAATTGCAAAATCGACAACATCAACATGAAACTTAACATCTTCTCCAGGCAATTTCTCCCCAAGACTATCCGAGTACCTGGACAGTGGCGCCCGACAGCTCATAGTGAAGATGCGAAAATTTCTTGGTCATCAGCCTCTGACAGATGTAGTAGGCCAAGGAGTCGCTCACTTCTGCCATGAAGGGTGTGCCAGGGGTGAGGGCAAGAGCTGACACAACCTTGCCCTTCCTCATCGCTTCAGTTAGCACCACTTTCTGACCCATAGAACAACAGGACAACATGAACAGCCAGAAAGATCACGCTGTTTGAATCAGCACAGATCTGGCTAAATCAGACAGAGATTTTCAATCCAGAGAGAATGCAAGGGGTGTGGTGAACAGGTGCCAATGGCAGGCACCTTTGGTTAAGGGGCAGCCTCACTGCACAGAAAGGGGGTGTTCCATGCAAACAGATCAACAGAATGACCAAGAAATTTTGCACTCAAAAGTTGCAAAGCAACGAGAAATGGCAGGAAAGAGGGAACATCGACACTCACAACCAGCAAGCAGGTGAAGCAGGGCAAACATCTGATATGCGGCAATTGTTGGGCCTGCTTTTGAGCAACACCACGTCTTTGAAGAACGGGACAGGTACAGGATAATTCCACTGTTGAGATATCAGCACACCAGCATATGCAGCAAGTTGCAGGGGTGCCACATGGCATCTTGACCCAGATGTCCCATTTGCAGGGTGTCAGCCACCTCAGACTTGGATGTTGTTGCAGCGAAAAGGATGGTGCATACTACACTTTCGTCTACATTCAATGCAGCCTGGGTCTATGAAATGACCTCAACTATGTGCCCAGTTTAGGCAGTTCAGCAAGGCCACCTTTGGCATCGAAGTAAGGCAAGTGTGCAAAGGAGCACCAAAGCAGTCTGGACTGAGGTGGTTGGTGGTATTCCTGGCAAATGCAGTGGAGTGTCACAGCAGTAAGCTGCATAGCATCACCACTCAAGCAATCATGGCAATTTTGCCAGAGCGTTGTGACATCAATCCTTGCTGATAACATTTGTCAAGCAGATGGCATGGCAACCCCTTTTGCCACTTGGTCATACCAGATAGAGATGTACCTGCATGCCATTTATTGAAACGCATTGATGATACTGCAGGACCAGGTGACAGCGTTCAAGGGTTGTGACTGAATTGAGATCAGATCATAATAACCACAACTTCTGCACAATGGGATCAGTGAATCGCCAATAACCACATACCTTTCTTCTTAATCTTTGGGTCATAAGTTTGGCAAGTGGTGCAGGGCCATCAAGGGCAAATAGGATGCTCTTCTGTGGATTCATGGCACTGACAATGCTGTCCAGACGAGCGTACAATGAAACATGAAAATGACCCATATTGTAAGCTGCAGCAGATGGGCACAGATCCCAATCAGCACTTGCAACGGTCAATGGGACAGACACTACGTTGCACGGCCATGATCCGCACTGCACATCCTGACAGTCACCAGTCCAAGTTCTGCAACAACCGCAATCCGAAAAATTGCATGGACAAGTAGACAATGCTGACCCCAGCAGGCTGTGAAATTCTGTGAGGCTCTGGGCGATGAACATGCTGAATGTGCGTGGACATGCCGGTTGGTAGTCCAAGTTAAGCATATTGCTGTTTTGTGAAGAAACTCCAACGAACAGCATTAAAAAACATCAGGGACGGGGGGGGCATCGCCACATCGGCACCATCACTGCAGTCCCAGCCACTCCTGCTTCACCTTTGTGCTAGCAAATCATCGACACAGTGCTCGATGATGTTTGCACATAATCAACACGTTTGTGTTTGCACATCATGCGCATTGTTTTCTGTTTACATGGCATCAACATTGGGTTGATGCGTTGGGACATTACCCCAACATGCCCTTTGCCATTTGCAATGGTTGGAGCTCACACAACTGGTGCACTTGAATTGACAATGTTCCGTGGCCACCCTGCGCTGCACATTGCGTCCGGGCCTCGCGCAGCTCATGGAGGCGTCCGATCTGTTAATTGGTGAACATCCACCGCCCGCGCACAACACGCACAGCCCACAAAGACCCAGCGTACCGTAATGACAATGAATGCAGAACTAAACGCAGTCCTTTCACCTTGCAGGTGGTGATGGGCGCAAAGCCGCGCATCCAACTGTTGCCACTGTGATCTTACATCCCATCGCTCCCCCAACAACCAACGAAACACGGGCCGCGCACACCAAAGGCAGCACACCGCCCATTGCCTGATCCGATCCCCACCTTTCCTCAAGACGAGGTGCAGCACGCTGTTCATGTCAATGTACAGGTGGTCTATCTTCAGGCCCTTGAGGTTGACAAAGGCGCCGGCGTACGTCGACGTGAACCAGGAGTTGAAGCCGGGGATCCCCATCGCGCCGACCTTCTTTCAGAACAGCGCCAAGCGGCGGCCAGGCCCGCGAGGGGCGCTCTGCCTCTGCCGCGAGCGCCTGGAATCCAGACGCCGGCTTGGGAGCAGCTTGCGCCCCGTGGAACCCCCGACCACCAACCACCTGTTTTCGCGCTCCCCGTTCTGAATGTAGGGAGGGTCACGCGATAGCGCCCCCTCTAGGAGCGCCCGGGTCCAAATGGCGGACTGCTACCAACGAAGTGCCCATCACAAACCCTCATAATGACTACCGTTTCCCGGAGTGGGGAGGGCAAGCGCGTTGGCTAATTAATGTTAGCGACCCCATCATTGATGTAGGTGGGGAGAGCTGGGTGTCGAAGGGAAGCGTGCTGTGTACTGCTGGAGTGGCCCGGGAAAGCCAACATTGCATGATAAGATGACAAGGTACAGAAGAGAAAACACTCTGACGACACTTGCTCTTTCCTCAAATAATCGTTTGGCGTGCTGCATCATGCTTTGCGAGGAAAGAAAACATTTCTTCGGAACAGTCTACCGTACGGTACTAACCGAGGCAAAGCACGAGCTTGTTGGCAGTTTTGCTCGTACCTGAGCCAATATTTTCACAGGAGATGTTTGGACATAAGTTACAGCCAATGAAAAGCAAAAATACTGTCAAAATTTCAGATCACTGAGTGTTTGAGCAAGCCATGCTCTGAGCCGCTACAACTCAATTTTGCGAATAATTCACGCCACCTCGTACCACAGTGCATTACGGTACGCTTTGCGGCAAATTGTGGCGAAATTGAGGCAGTGATGCTTGCGGGAACAAATCCGATTGGGCTTGGGCCTTTAGGGTATGAGGACTCTCCAGCACAATGAGCATGTCTCATACAATGGGGAACCTTCCTGAGCCAGACTATTGTGAGACAATTCCTACACTAAAGATGTTGGAGGAGATGTCTCTGAATGCAACAAATCCATGGGGGTGAGCTCCAGTCAAGGGGTAGAGTTTTACTTTCAGGGTGCAAATAGGATCATGCGGTATTCGTGCCTGGTGTAGAGTGAGCTACAGCATGTGTACCTACCAACCTTGCACCCGGGGCGGGGGCGAGATGACCATCGAACAGCGCCCCACTAGAACCACCCCTCTCCTGAAACAGGAGCCTGCTGCAACAGGGAATAGTGCACGGGGCTGGTTCCGTATGGATGCCCTTGACTGGCAGACTTCAAGTCATTTTGATTGCATACTCTGACACTCAAACACAGATTTCTGTGCGGACTTGAGCTTCAGAACGCCAGTCTGTGAAGTCAAGATAGCTGCAAGGAGAGCCTACAACAGGGAGTCCTCTGCAGTGTAAAAATTCAACTCAGGCGTCCATAGGCTACAAGCAGAGAACTTCCAAACCTCAAGGAACTGGGCACAACCAAAAAATTAACAGCAGAGTGCAATGCCATAGGGAAGCCCCAAGAACTGCAAATCGTTTGTATCTATGCCAAGTACCCATCGAAACCTTTGCCAAAGTACATTCACACACATGCACAGAGGGGACCTCTGCTAGCCATTTCCAACAACACGTTTCTGTGACATGACACACTGCCAGGGCCGTAATCTAGGGGCAGGACCCTGTGACGGCAAGACCAGCAATAGTCCATGAGAGCCTCATTTCCTTGGAGTCATAAGGGCCATGCAGGTTACTGCGAGCAGAGCAGCGCCCACACCGCTGGCAGCTCCAACAGTGTACAGCATAGATATGTCATACATCTTCGCAGCTGGCTGAACTGACACTAGTTCTCTGCTCTTGACATTCTCAGCTTGCGCCAGCACCAGCTCTTCTGCAATTTCTTCATTCTCCTTGGTCACCTTGCTGACTTGGGCCCGCTCCTCCTGTAGGCCAGTGAGTGCAGTTGCCAGCTCTTGTTGCATGCCATCCCTCTCCTTTTTAACCAATTCAAGTTCAGTTTCAATCTGTTCCTTGTCCTTGGTGAGTTTGCTCACAATGGCAGACAATTCCTCAGCCTTCTTCTTTGATGCTTCTGACTGCTTTTCTGCCTCAGCGATCTTCTTGTCCTTCGCAGCTAGGTCTCTGGACATCCACATTTTAGATGCCTCCACTGTCTCCACGGACTTTTCTGCCGACTCCTGTGCCTTCCGTGCTTCTGCGACCTTCACCAACAGTAGAATCAACCCCATAAGGATTAGAGGCTGCTCAAGCAGGCAGCCAAGGGAGTTGAAGCAATGTAAGCAACATCCAAGTTGGTTCACAACGTGCCAAAATAAGAGAAAGGGAGCCCACTTTTGCAAAAAATGCACACACTGCAGGCAAGGTTGGATGGATATATGCACTCACCTGATCATGCAATTTCTTCAACCTCATCTCCATGGTTGCTTTGTCACTCTTCCAAGACTTTGTTTGTTCTTCTAAGTCCTGCACACTGCCTTCAAGAGATTTTGCCTTCACCTCAGCCATCCTTTTCTGTGTCTCCAAAGCCTGCTTCTCCTGCTCAAGGCGTGCGACACTGCTCCGCAGCTTCTTTGTGTCAGCCTCCATCTTTGAAACTTTCGTCTCCAGCTCCTTCACCTTTCCTTGCGGAGTTTCACTCTTCTTGGAGTCGGTTTTGCTTGCCTTTGCCAAATCACTCTGCAGCGCTTGTACCTGCTTTTCTGCAGCAATCCTCTGGCTGTTGCAGGTGTCCAGTTCAATTTTCAACCTGTCCAAGTCCTTCTGGAGAGTGTCCATGCTGTTGGTGCTCGCAGGCCCAGTCTGTTTTTCATTTCGAGTCGCCATAGCTCTCCAACCTGCAGCAACCTGTGGCGATGCAACCTAGCAGGGCCAGCCACACACTCGCCAGCCTGTTCTCCTCCAAGCAAGGTCAGAGTGGCATAAAACCTGCCAAGGATAACAGAATGAGCACTGGCTCAGAATTTGGATGGACAAGCAAAACACCCAAGCACAACATGCCCTCCTCAAGATCACAAGAGCAGCACGGCAGTGGCTGCAACAGTTTCATTTTGTAGCTGCTCTGAAAATATTGGAATAATGCACAGCTTGACATCGATGCAAAGCCCCTGTCCTTTGACTACAGACACAGAAAGGAATTCAATAAGCTGCCACTCCACCGGCACTCCACAGCGCGCAGAGAGCCTAAACACAGATGTGCAGCCGCAATTACCTACGCAGAGTCCAACTCTGAGGAAGCTCTATTCTCGGTTCCGGGACTGGGGATCATTCTAAAGAGGGATCCGAGCCGCACATTGACAGCATCATGCGTGCGTCCGCTCAACAGACAGCGGACAGCGCAGCCTAGCATGGGCTTATCTCGGCAAAACAGCAAGGCAGATGCGGCACACACGTGTTCGCGAATGGTCCAGTTTGAGACTCTTGTCCAGGTGTAGGGAGGCGCGACCGCCCTTTCCCAGCAGTGCTTCAACCACAGCTAGGGCAAAATGGCACTCGTTGTGCTGGCCAGACGGTCCACCGTTTAGAATCCCATTCACTCGATACCGCGCCTACTGACCTGCGGTGTGTGTCACGGGGCACGGGGCTGTCGTTCGGCAGGCTTGCGCGCCGGCGAAAGGCAGGCGTGGGGTGGTGTAAGCGGATGGTCGCGGGTGCAGTTGCGAGGTGACAGTATACGGGCGCAGCGGTGCTGGAACCGGTGCATGTCGGACCTTGTTGGCTCAAGGACAGGGACGTTCCCACTCCATGAACATCATGGGAAGGTGGCACAGGAGCCAATGAGAACCGTTCCTGCATGCCACCGCCGGTGCTACATGAATGACCACCGTTTAGCTGTCTGGGTCACTTCTGGCAAAGGCGGATGACGGGCATCTGCTGTTATCGCGCTTGCACACTGCAAGGATTGGCTTGGGTTAGCCACGGTGGCATGAATAGACAGAAAAGAAAGAATGAGGGAAAAGTTGTGACAAACGGTAGTGACGAGAAAGCATGAGGGTTGTGATGAGGGAATGGTGGATAAATAGGGTCAGCCAGGGCTTACTAAAGGCTTCATCTTGTGTGTTCATTACTTTTCATCCTGGCAAGTGTTTCCGCAGAATGGTCAGCAGCACGTGTTGATGGTTGAACTGTGGGATTCTGGGACATGTCTTGGTGGACTGGACTTTGGACGTGAGTAAAAATGGGTCTGGTGAGGACTTATTATGCCACGATCTCCCCAAGGGCAATTGAGATGTCTTTCCTGGCAAAAGGACGTATGTGGCGCGGGTGTTGATGTGATTCAATGGGATTCTTGTGAATTATAAGAATCTCAACCACTCACATCACCCCGTACATCAGATATGCCTAGGTCCACTCAGAAGAACTACAAATGCACACACCCGGGATCAAAACCGTGTAACTTGTGTGGCTATGTTTAGAGAAGATATTGTTTTGAATTTGGTACGCTTAGCATCAATGTGACGTTAAGCTCAGACCCCCCTCCTTAGCGTCAATCCTTATTTCCATTCCGGGATGACTCAGCAACATTACCTAGCAATGCCATACAACTTCCAAACAGTTTTAAGGGAAAAAATGGCCGAAAGCTTGGTGATTGCAGTGATTTAAAAATGCGATGCCAAAAGTCACTGTAGCCGATGGGAGCAGCCCCAAAGCCTCAAAGTTTGATCCATTCTATTGACTTCCTCGAAGATGGAAAGTTTTGAGGGAGGTTTCGCAGCAAGTCATGACCTATCTTCCACTGATCACTGGCGTTTCTTTTTGCATCTTCCCACGTTATTTTGAATTTGTCACATTACTTTAGTGCAATTACATAATCTCTTAGCGTCAATGGCTGAAACCCTACCACACTTGACGTCAATTTGACGCTCAGCGTACCAGATTCAAAATGATGTCTACCCCTAGATGTTATTCCGTGATGCGCACAGATGTGCATGGGTCCATTTCTTGTGACATGCCTGGATACGTTTGGATCGCTTGCTTGAATGCACATGCATGAGCGAAGTCCAAGAAAAATTTGTCACACCAAAGTGAATGCATTTTGTCAAGGGAAGTTGTTTCCTTGTTTGCTTCCATCCCAGCCTGGCCACTTCGCCAATGCGCTTCAGTTCTCATGTCTAACTCACTGGAAGTCGCAAAGGGGTGCGGGCTTGAGCGGGAAGTCTTTCCAGGGTAACTGGTGGAGGATACATCGGCCTGCGAAATTTCTGACTAATTTTTCGCCGCAAGTGAAATTGATTACAGAAAATGGACACCTCTGCCAACGTGTGTTGTTCTCATAACAGACCGCCATGACCGAACATTGACCATTAGTCAACTACCGAAGACATCAATACATTCTCATTTGTGTGGCAGCTGCACGTACAGCCAGGCTTAGTGTTTACGTTTACGGCTCCATTTTTGCTTTTACGTTTCTAGGCCGAAAAAATGCGTAACTAGAGAAACGGCCACTTTTACGGCCATATTTATGCGTATTCACGGCTGGTCGACACCCACAGATTACATGATGATGTCCCACCCCAACGATCAATCTTCCACTCTCTTCAGCACCGGCAACATAGCGCACACCTCAAAGTAAGCAAGGGCAACGACGCCACAGAGCAAAAGATCGTTTTGTGCCTATTTCAGCGCGTCTAGATCCCACTGTCCGGACTCCCGCTATCTGTATGTACTGTCTTGAAGTACACAAGACCCATTTTCACCCATTTTTATGCATTTTTACGCATTTTTTGGCGATTTACGCGTACAAACGTAAAAACCATTTTTACGCGTAAATAGCCGTAAATAGAAGAATGTTTGCACTGTAAAGTCCAAGCCTGGGTACAGCACTTCACCGTTACATCTACTGCGCGATCTTTTCTAAACTTTCCTTATCCAGCTCTCCTTTTCCATGTTTGAGCTAGTCAGCGGGGCTCCATGCACGATGTCAGTATGTGTTGTGCATGGTAGCAGGGGTGGCAACTGACCTTGAAACTGCTGGATCAATTTTCGCCGTTGCACAAGCCAAGCTTGTTATTTACATTTACGTTCGTGCGTTTAAGTTTTTACGCCTAAAACGTTGTTCGAGGCAGCCGTTCATTAAAGAGCGTCTTTTTCATTATGCGGTTCTGGCCGCCAAAATCAAGGGGCAGCTGTGAATGAACACCCAAGAGCCAAGGTGTCACTGCCCGTACGAATGGACCACGTGCTAGCTACATAACATTGAGTGTCCGAAACTACAGTTTGAGCACACAGAAATGTGTTTGATGCCTTCTCCTTTGGCAGGACACGGCCCGCCACTTTGTGTAGTGCACAACTGCAGCCCATCAGCACATTTTCTGCGCATTTTGACCAAAGCACCAGTTTGAAGCCGCGAATTGCACCTTTACACAGATTGCACACACGCACACACATACACACCACTGCACCACACAGCCAAATTACAAACCAGCCCCATTCTACACCTTCCTGACTTGGACGCGTGCTGGAAGTTTCACTTTCGCGCTCACATCCTTGCACACTCCTTGGGTGACTGCGACCACCCTCAAGGGAGCGCCACGTTGTTCCAGCGCGCGCCCTCATGTTGCGGCCTCTCCAAGCTTCTCCTCTCAGCCGGGCAACCCCTTCTCGGGGCCTCTCCGTGGCGGACGCCACCATCTCCGTGTCGATGGATTTTGATGGGCAGATCTCCGATGGCCAGCCATCGGCGTCTCGCCATGGTCGCGCGCCTTGTGGGCGTCCTTCACCGGGTTGGGCTGCACCTTTAGGGCCTTCGCGGCCTGCCTATCCCGTGCGTTTTGCCTTGGTTATGCGGCGGACGCCTTCTCGGCGTCCTTTGGGCGTTTGTGGCCATCCCCGAATCAGATTCGAGGGATGCCTTGAAGGGATCGTTGGGCAGACCGCCCAACGGACGAGGCGCCGAAACGGCGCCTTTGTGGGTGCAGTGCCCGCCCTCTTGCCACTCTGAGCGGGGGTGCACGGCCTCCTCGGCCGCCACCCCCGGCTCGCTTTCTCAGCGGGCGTTTGGTGGTGTGGCACTTTGCGGTGCTGCGGGGTTCATTTTTATGGCCGGACATCTGAAGTGTCGTATGGCCTAACGTGGTGCTCAACGCCCACAACCACACGCACACCTATCAGTCACAAAACAGCGTTTGCACGTCCACAAAATGCACTGGTCTGACCCCTTCAAACCGTCCACTTGACCCTTCAAACGGTCCAGGCCACCCCACAACCCCAACACCGGCGTCACCAAAAATGACCACACAATCGAAACCATTTTACACATTTTTCAGGACGGGGCTGCGCCTCCCGTGTGCAACAAAGCGCCATAGCAGTGGTTGGGCGTTTGAAGCATTGTGTAGTACTTGGAACACAAAGACATGTTGCAATGGGGCAATGCACGCAGCCCCCAAATCTAAAACATTGAATATGTATCCAAACTTCAAAAGCAACATGTCCAACCCTTTGACTTCACTCAACCACTACAAAAGCGCAAGACTAAACCCATTAGAGTGATTAGGAACACGTTCCAAAAGGTGCCCACACAAGATTAGGCAGCTTCTCTCAAGAGAACCTCAACAACTGGCCCCCTTTCAAGTTAATCAAATTCCATACAGAAAATGCGCCCTTGCATCTGCGCAAACCCCTCACACCACATTGCCACCCCTCCCTTGTGTCCCACACCACCAAGGGAAAAGTGGACATGGCTCATGGGCTATAAAAAGCGCGTTGGCAGCTGCGCAACCATAGAACAGAAAGTGGCGTTACACACAACCACTTTAAAGACAAAACAACCCTTTCTAAGGGTCTGACATATAGTCAGCCCTCCCCATTCAGAACCAATGGACGAGTTG